GTTGTGGCAAGTCGCAGCCACGAGGTCCAGTGCTGACCCCTTTTTTTGCCCAGCACAGGATTTCATGCAAGAGCAAAGGCTTGGAGTTTAGCAGCAAAAAGCCCCAAGCCAAGCAGCCATGCATTTGCTGTTTCTCCGCGAAATCCTGCAGACCTGAAGCTTTGCCCGTGCAAAGTGCTGCAAGGTCACAGCCGGGCTGCTCAGAGCTTTACAGGGCAAATTCTTCAGTGATTCAGCAACCAGCTCCACATGTCATCAGATCAGCTTGCCAGCAGACTTTTGCCCAATAGCTGAGAGGCAACAAGGCACACAAAGGCCGTAGTTTTGATTGCAGAGATTTGCTGCGCCTGTTCCGCTGCAGCATGCAAGAGTCAGGGAAACTCCACATCGAGCCCCGCTGCACATATTGAGCGGCTGAATGTGTCGGAGAACTTTGCTGTGAGGATGTGGCCTCGATGGTATCAGATCTTCTGTAGGGGCTGGGCAGCCATGTAGCCGAGTCAAGTATTGTTCCAGCCGCTCAGAGTGCAACACTCCTCAGCAGGCCAGTCCCGAACAGCAGGTGCCTGTCGGCCCAGCAGCTTAGCGCTGGTTGATGTTGAAGCATGTCATAGTTACCCGGTGCAAGCAAAGCCTTAATGGTCTGGTCTGGCTTGGGACTGCATTGATGGTGACATGGATCCAGACGGAGTCTCGTAGATCGAAATGAGCGAGGCTCCGCTGGGACCTGGATGGACCTTGTGCGCCTTCCGTGCTTCCATGCGCTGGTTTAGGAGCTTTCTCGTCGCTTCGCTTGCCTCTTGCATTGTGCATGGTGCGATGGGGATGACACCGAGTAGTTACTGTTCTGCTGTGTAGTTGACGTAGATGTTGAACTGTAGCGTGAGCATAGCATGCCATGGAATCTCAACCCAGAGCCACGCCAACAGCCATAAATCCTGGCAGATTGCAGACTACGGGTACCACCGTTCCATTCACACGGCGTAGATTCGGATTAGCTTCCGCACACAGAGGCAGGCGGCAGGTGACCGGCTGATGGTCTCCTGGCTTGCCAGTGCTGCAACTGACGTGCAACACGTGCTCGATGCTTCAATTGCTCCTTGTAACCTTGCGCTGCCACGACAACCAGGCAATAGAGGACTTTAACGATACAGCCGCCTTACCTGGCAGCTCATGGACTGCTGAAATGCTGCTTGCACAGCGTCTGCACCAACCCCGCTTGTTTGCAGATCGCCCCATGTTTTCCACCATGTTAACACAGTGATGCATCGTTCTGTGGTTGGTGCAGGATTTCTTGTCGTTTCGACTATCGGTTGTTTGGACCAGCAAACTGTTTAACGTGAATGCTGATGTTGTTTCTCCACGGCCGTTGTTTTCCCAGGAGGTTTTGTGTCCGTGTCGCCTGCCTTCGCGGCCCAGTCTTGGAAACGGACACGTAGAGTAGAGTCTGACAGTCTGACCGACAGGCAAACAAGGCCAAGTCCGTTTCCTGACTGAAGAGTTTGCAAGGGCAGGTGACCTGGAGCTAGTTGTGTTGTTCTATGTTCCAGCTGGCACTTGGTGTCTTTTCCTTGCGTAGTTGGCCTTGGCAAAGGCTTGGGACCTCCTCATTGGCAGTTTTGAAGGCAGGTAGGCGCCAGGTATCCAAGCCGGAGGCATTCCCAAGATCAGCCCCCCGGGGAGGGACGAGCCAAAGCCACCACAGTTACCGGTCTTTTATATATACTTTGCTGCAATGGCAGTTTGTTGTGAATTTGATTGAGCCTGTGCGATTTGAGTCACCAGGTTGCAGGTTTTGTCTCCTTAGTTGCAATGCACGCAGTTTGCCCAGACTTGTACATACAGAGACTTCGTGGCGAAGTGTACGAGGAGTTCGTACAAGGAACCATAAAGCGCCAAGACTCTGGCGATGAAATTGCTCTTGGGAGTCGCATGAGGACATCATAGCGAAGAAGGCCGCACGTTGCAATCTGCAAGAGACCTCATGCTGGCCAAGACGAGCCTGTTGCCCCAATGAAGCTCAGCATCCTCTGGGCAAGGCCCTGGCTTTTCTCCTCGAGGAAGCCCTGTACAAAGCCTACGTCCTACATATCCCAACATGGACCGCTCCAATCGATTCGGGCCTTCTCTAGCCGTGTTTAGATGATACTTGAAAAGCTTTATCTCATGTGACTGTGGGACAGTCCTGAATCTGCCGTGAGCTTGAAAGAAACTGGGACGCATGCCAAATGTGGCATTAGTCCTCCGGACTCTTCCGGCATCAAAAAGACTGCGTCCGTGCTTGTATGCGCAAATGCAGAAGTTGGTCCACTACATGTGTCGGCTTGGTATGTGGTCGTACAGTCGGGGGTGGATCCGGAACCTGAAGAAGCAGCAGCGGCCTCAGGATCAAGAGAGAGAGACGGCGAGAGCGAGCGAGGCAGGGAGGGCTTCACAGTCGCCACGTGATAGAGTGCGGGCAGGTTGCCGAGACGGAACTCGAAGATTTCCAAACGCGAGTGCAAGCTACTTGAGACTCAGTCTGCTCCATGCGAGCCCCGCTGTGCTGACATGCTAGTCAGCAGCACAAGCCCGGCAGGGCAAAGCGGAGCGGCGCCTGGCAGGGAAATGTGCTGCCCACCCGATTCGTTGTGGGGCCTCAAGCCGGTCTTTTCGAGCACAAATGTAGTACAAGCGTAGTGCACGGAATGCTTCCGAAATTTCATGCAAAGAGTACAAACAGAAGTACAAAGGCCCCAAAGCCAAAGGTTTGCGAAGAAAATCAGCGCTCAAACGAAAGCATTTCTCGGAGAATGCGGTTCAACAACTTTAAAAATTGGAGCAGCAATTATCGAGTCAAGCTATCGCAATAAGTGGAGCAAGAAGTAAATGCAGAGCCACGGTTGGACGCCTGCTGAACTAGCATAGGGCAGACTGAGGATATCAAACGTCATCAATGTCATCATTGCGAATTCCAAGTCTGCCCAGACTCTAATCGAGGATGGTCAAAAGAGGACCGGCATGAGAAGGTTCGCACATTCGTGTAAGCGGCAACAGAACGCACAACAGATTCCTGAGCTTCCAGAGATTCCCATGCAACAACGTTCAGAAGAAGCATTCCAAAGATTCCAAGTGCTCCATATTATGCGGCTCAGAGCGACGCGACGAGTTTTTTGGGCTCATAGGACCAATTGCTGCATGGAGGCCCCTGTCAGAATTGAATTTGCTTCAATTCGTAAACAGCGGGCTCCCCTTCCAGGCGTTCTGGAAGTTGCCCAGCGTGGGCACATGGTGTGTCGGCACAGGAAGGTGACCGAAAAACATTTATCTAAACTCCAACCCTCTAAAGCCCCAATCCTAATCTGTCCTGCTGAACTGGACTGACAACAAGTTCGATCGGTTCGGTAGTTGTAATTGCTCACGCAACCTCTCGCGGCCCGTGCCAAATGCATGTTTTTAGGCTGCTCAGGCTTCTTGCCTGCTTCCAGAGCGGGGGTGGGGGGGGGGTGGGGGGGGGGATGATGATATGCATTGTCAGCTTCATCAATTGCAGCCTTTCCGGCTTTCAGGGGAGATGCCAGCGAATCACCTGAATCCGCTCTGAAGGAGCTGATTCAAGCCGGCTACGTGCAGATCCCACTACTACTAAGACTAAGACTACTACTACTACTACTACTACCACTACTACTACTACTACTACTACTACTACTACTACTACTACTACTACTACTACTACTACTACTCCTGCTACTACTACTACTACTACTACTCCTACTCCCACTCCTACTCCTACGCCTACTACTACTACTACTACTACCACTACTACTACTACTACAAGTCACAAGGGGATGCACTTGTGACTTGTTGACCTTTAAGTCCCCGCGGAGCTGTCATTGGCGTGCCATGTGGGTGACAAAAAAAACTACTACTACTACTACTACTACTACTACTACTACTATTACTACTACTACTACTACTACTACTACTACTACTACTACTACTACTACTACTACTACTACTACTAGGAGCAGTGCGACTTCCTGCACAAACCTCAAAGATCACTTTGCAAAAGACGCACGACTTACAAAAAACATCGTCTAAACCATACACATGCAAACCTTTGAAAGCACTGGCAGGCGTGTCACTTTTGTTACTACGACAATGTTCTCCTGCTGTCAACTCAAGAAAAAAAGACGATTCCGTGAACCGCATTTATAACCAAGAATGCTGGTATTCGTGGGACAAATGCACGATTTCGCGTGCAAAAACAACGGGGCCACCAGCGGTTGCGTGACCTTGTAATTGCCACTAACATTGTGGCCTTTCCACTGTTCAACCAAGATACCCTGCAATGCGGGCTTCGTCCTTGCTAGGTAGGAGGGGAAAAAATCTTTCCTTGCCCCCAGGCGCCGGTGTCAAAGACCGAAAAGCCGCACCGGCGGAAGCGTCTTGTGCGAAAGAAAAACGTGCTGCTGGTGGTGGAGGGGTAAGGGTTTACGTTGAAAACATTCCCGGCTGAGAGGTCTGAAGCTATCAGGTGTGAGGCTGTGCGTAGGAAGCCTTAGAACATAGCCAAGGCCGGCACATTCGAAGAGAAGCACAAGCTATCAAACTTGCGAAGCCCGACATCCTTTGCCTGAGGAATACAACTGACTAGGATCACAAAGAGGATGCACCCCCTTGCTCTTCAGTAGTCGATGTTGCACTTTGCAAATCGGAACACCAGCGTATACCTCCAAGGTGCGTGTAGCCACCAGTACAGTGCTGGATCAAAATAGGCAGGCTCACTGAAGTTTGTGTGCTCGCGTGTTTGGTTGGCACAGATCTTGGGATCGGAGACATTTGTCATTAGCGAGTGGTCGATCGTTTGATTCCGTTGCTCAGGGTCTGCTGTGAACAGTCCGGGATATCGTGGGGATCATCTGTCACAAGTGATGAGGACTCTCAAATCTCTCCATCAATTCCTGAGCTGTTTGTGTGCAAAACGGGATTGGGAACATGCATTAGCTTCCCTCGAAGGTATGTTTATGGATGAGCTTTTCCAGAAGGAGGGTTTTCAGTCTCCGTCATGTTCGGTTTGTTCGACATCGGAAGCTTCCACGAAGCAGGAGATGCCACATTCATTTACGCCATGTTGGCCCAATGTAGCACCAGCAGCATGCTGCAAACCACATGTAGTGCCGGCCGTCGTTCTACACACGTGCAGCCGCTGAGCAAAGGATAACTCGCATGCTGCAGGCTCTCTCAAGGCTATACCAGCAAGAGACAGCACCATTCAGGCAAACCATATTCCTGAATGTTGTTGTGCTAGGCTCCTGTGCCTGCCACTCACGCGATGGCTTGGCAAAGCTTGGGCAACGACGGGATCTCGAGCTCCTTAGGCGGAAGGGAACAAAGACTGCTTGCATTGTTCCCAACGTGTATCCTGCTGCAGGTGCGCTGCGAAAGGTCTTATGTGCTACTGCACCCGTGCATCCGCCACGAATGCGGCCACCCGCTTGGGCGCGCAACCAGCAAAAGGTCCAGGACGCGCTCAGCAGAGGCTTTTATTCTTATCCAGACAAGGGGCCGCACTGGAATTAAAACGTGGCCAGATATCAGGGGCGTGTGATCCCTGCGGCAGGACATTCTCTGCTGCATGTTCCCGGACCTGATGCGCAACTGTGCTGGCGAGGCACGTGTGTTGGTCCGGCATACAGGGAGAGAGGCAGCAACCGCATGTTTTCTCAAGTTCCTGGGCTGAGGTGATCGCCTGGCTCGAATCCCAAGTGCTTTCCCCGAACGACTTGCAGGCGTTCGGACTGGGAAGTCATTCAGGCATTCCCACATGGTGAGAACAACCAGTGTTTGTTTGTGCCAGGTGATCTCGCAGTCGTGGCAAAGTGTCCGGAGTCTGGCGGTGGATTTCAGGGCGCTGTTAGCTTTCAGTTGCCAACGCGCTCTTCCCAACGAGGTGGCAGTGAAGGTCTGGCATATCGTCGGGTTGTCTTGCTGTGAATTAATGCTGCTTCATAATCTCCTGCTTTGTAGGTCATCGGCTTCCTTATGCCTCCACAGCTGTCACTCTTGCAGAAGCGCTTGGAGAAGCTATCAGCGAGGGCGAAGGATGAGGCGCAATTGGTTTGCCAGATCACGATCAATCCTGCTTGCAGCATTCTCCTGGTGATTCCATGCCTTGATGTTTTTCCGGGCTTGAGGGAATCATCGCCGGTGCATTTGCAACACCCTATGATACCTAGTGCTGCGGAGGAGCCATCAGAGGCGCCAAAAAGAAGCAAAAAAGAAGTGAGAAAATACAAGAAGCGCATTATCAAGCAGGCGCGCAAGGCCAGGCCGGTGCTAGCAACTGTAACATTGCGCCGGAACCGCGCGCACATGGCATTCTTGCAAACGCTTACAGGAAGCTTCGCGAACGGGTCGCTGGGCTGATCTACGACCTGTCACGCTGAAGGCTGGGTATCGGCCTTTCGAACCCTAAACAATAATCACAACGACCTTTCCAGGCCATAGCGGGGACGCGAAAGCTGCATGCATAGCTATTGTGGGCTTGTAGGTGTACTCTGGCAGCCAGGGATTGTCACATACAGCGCACATGGAAGCTCTCGATTAGCTTGTGATTTCTATGGCTTGCAGGAGCGATTAGGTTCAAAGCGTCGTGGTAGACTTCCAGGTTTCGATTTGTTTGAAAGATGTCACTTCTAGGTGCTGGGTCCAACGTCTCGGGTTGGATCTCTACGATCTCGTGTTGTGTTTGCAAAATTCCGCTTCAGAGGCTTAGCCCTCGCCCAGGGGTTGTTTTTGTTTGTGGATCTCAGTTGCACGGTCATTAGACGTGCTAGCCCTCGGGCAGGCTACACCTTTTCACCACAAGTGCTGCTGATGGTGGCGTCGATTGCTGCGGTGTCCTCTGTATTAAGGGATGGAGTGGGGGGGGGCGGGGGTCCATGCATTTGGGGTTTGTTTCGGGGTTGGGTCTTAGGGCTCATAGGAGTTATAGGGCTGGGGGTTTTAGGGCTTAGGATTGTCAGGTTTTCGGCTTGCTATAGCCTTTAGGATTCTTTAGGATTTAGCTTGTGTGCGGGCTCTTTTGCAGGTTTTGGTGTTTGGGGATTCAGGGTAAGGCCTTCTAGAGTAAGGGTTTGCAGGGTTGGGAGTGTTTCGCTTGGGGGGGGGGGCTGGTGCGTGAAGCCGTAAGGTTTAAATGCGCCAGAAGAAAGAATCATTGCTCTGTCGGCCACCACATGCCGCGGGCCATCCCTGGAGCTCCCTATAGCCTAGACCGCACGAAGTCTTCCTGAGCCCCCACAGTCCTGATACACAGACAGAAAACCAAATAAATTTGGGTGTGTCACCATGGATGCCCTCAACCACCCCTGGAGCCCCGCTCAAGAGAAAATGAAAAAGAACAAAACAGCTTAAAGCGGCCCTCCTGCTGTACATGAATGGGTCAATATTGCAATTGGAGAAAGCGAGCTGTCCTTTGTTTGAGGCCGTGCTTGCGGTGTCCTTATACCTAGAGAATCCTTCGGCGTTTATTTTCGCCGCCAAGCATAACGGCGTTTATTTTCGCCGCCAGATACCAGAAACGCCGACAGTAAACAGAAACGCCGACACAAAAACAAAAGCGCCGCCAAAGACACTAGACTTCTGATGATTGAAACAAGACAAGATACATTCTTGATAACTGACACCTTGAAACCCAACCAAAAAGCTGAAGCCCTGAAGCCCTGACTGGTTTGAGGGTTGGGGCGGTTGAGGCTGGTCGATGTTTCAAGATTGGAGAATGGTTAAAGAGATCTAGGGGTTCAAGCTGGGCGATGTTTGAAGCTGGAGAGTGGCTAAGGCAACTCTAAACATCTTGATAGTCGAAGCCTAAGGACGAGGGTTGTTGCTTGATTGCGGGTTCGGGTCCGAAAGAGGGTTCGAGAGGCATGGTGGCTCAGAGCTGTTCAATCCTGTTCATTCAGAGAACCCTGAACCCCTGAACTTAAAGCACCCTCAAACCCCCACACAACCCGGCAGTCCACCACTCAAAGTGTTCCGTTCGAGAGCCCTGAACCTCTGAACCTTAAGCAGCCCTAAACCCCAACCCTCCGGCTCCATTTTGGCGGCCATTCGGTGCCGAGCTGCTGGTGTCCAAGCTGCAGCCGTGGTGTCCCTTCGGCTTCCTGTATCTATAATGTAAAGACCCTAAACCTGATATATAGGGGATGCTATACTTCAAGCCCGTGGAACACTTCAGAGCCGCAGCTTTCGGCTGGATCGGAGCTGTCGGTGCCTCCTGATGAGAGCTGCCTTTTTCAGGAAGTGTCTCTGCAGCACCCGCTTGCTGATCGTTGTCACCGAAACTTTGATCGATAGAGCACAGACTCGACCGATAAGGTCCTCTCCTTGCTCACACCCCCACATGATGGGGTTCGGGATGAGCTTTGCATTGGCCAGCAATGCTTGTCGGATCTCATATGCCACATGGTGGATGCCGTGGAATTTGGGTTTCAGCGCAAAAAACGGCATCCTCATCGTCAAAGCAAGCTGAGCCAGATGCTGGTAGCCCGACAGTACGGACATCAACCTCAAATAGAGATTTTGGGCACATGCCCTCCTCAGCCACAGACCATGTTTGTACATCAAAGTGAAGGCCTTCTGCGACTCCAGGATCGTCTTCTTCAGAATAGGAAACAAAGCAGCATGTGCGGCAGGCAAGTTGGGTCTTCTCAGCAAGATCGTCACATAGAAGCTGAGATATTCCAACAAGAGCATGGTATCCGAACCCTTGGTGTTCGCCCATGCGAAGTCGGTCAACCGTTTCAGATTGAACAGCGACTTCGAAAAGTATCGTACAGCTGCTGTCTTGTGGGATGCCAGTCGCCACAGTTTGAAATGGGAGAAGCAGCGGTTGAGCCTCGACTTGATATTTGCATCATCGCCGCCATTCGGATCATCGTAATATCCAAGGCGAGCCAAAAAAACCAGGGAGCCACAAATATCTCGTCCAAGCCCAACTTTGAAAAGATGGAACATGTCATATTTCAGAACTCTTTCCGGTGCATCGCTGTCGTGAGGGACATTGCACATACCAGGTGTCGAGTCCCAAGGTCGCTGCTGGAAAAGTGTCGAAGCCCAGGATGGCTCGTGAGCCAGCTCATCAAAAGGAATAGCGGGACTCGTGCCCGCCATGCAATGTGCACAGACACCATTGTAGTTCACAGGGCCCAAACGAGCATAGTATCTGTTGAGATAGGCGATTTTTTCAGCGATTTGTTTCATATCGCCAGGCCCGAAGAAAAAAGCAGCGAGAGCTCGTCAGCAACCTGCTGGGTCAGCTGCTCCAAAACTTCTGGATGGTGTTTGTAAACCCAATCTGGGAGGCCGAAAAGCACATGTCTGGTGAGGTAGGAGTGGCCTTTATTTGTATGGGTTTGCTTGAGGGCGGCCTCCTCCATCGGCGTGTACGGGCCGGCTGCTTGCTGGCCCGGAACAAACTGCTGCGGTGCCTTCTTCACATCCTCTTCGCAAGTGCAAGAAAAGTCCTCGGCCACGTCCCACAAACCTATCGGTGACTCGATGGAGGCCACCACGAAGTTGCCTCGCTTCGGGCCTTTGCCTTCATCTGAATAAAAAGCCAATGGAATCGTGGTCCCGAGGTCCAGCCCTCGATCGAACACCGGATGGGTGCTGTGAGTCTGCCTGTAAGCCATCCAGTAGGCCTGCAGTTGAAACTCCAAAGACTCGTTGCCCCCAGCGAGCAATGAGCGATTGCGTTTCAAGAGATACAACAACCGGTCTTGCACTTTTATAAATGCAGTCTCAGCTTTCTCTCTGTCCTCCAGCACGAAGGTCTTTTCCGTTATTGGCACAGGCAAAGATAAACCCCAGTGTTTAAAGAAAGTGTGACAATCTCTCTCCTCGTTCGGGGCCTGTCTCCGTTTCTCCTCCGGCTCGTTGGGGTGCTGCATTTGTCGGAGACACCGCTTGGTGTCCTTGGCAGTGGCCTCGGCAGAGTAGTTTTCTTCGACAGCGATTAAAACAAAACAAACACAATCTTTAGGTTCGTTCTTGCGGGCTTGGAGTGTAAAGAATTAGAATAGGGGGATGATACCATAACAGCCTAAGCTCTAAACCCTTAGCCGGGAACCTGTTGACCGAAGCGGATCCAACTGGCCTTGGGGCCCACTGGCTGCATTTGGGGTTGCTTTAGAGATTGGGTTTGGTTGGGGATTTTCGTTTCGTGTGCCTGGCTTCGAGCTACTGATCCTCAGCCCAGGGCCCAAATCCTATACCCCAGAATCCCTCAGAAGCCCTTTGGCTAGCAAGAGACCACAAGGTCGGGACTGAGGTGGTTTCCTTGAAGGGTAGAAGTTTGGTATGTTGTATTTGGGATTGTCGGGATCAGGGTTTTAAGAGTTTACGGCCAAGGGTTCTTTGGTGCGGGCTTTCAGAGGTCTTGGCTTTTGCTTTTGAAAGTACGGACTCTGTCTTGACATTACACAATATATTTGAACCGAGGGCGGGATGTAGAAACTTCAAAGCTAAATTACTCTTTGGGGTTTCGGGCCTCGAGGGCTTGCGGCTTTGGGCTTTGGGCATGGGTTTCAGGCCTTTAGGCTTTGGGGCTTCGAGGCTTGGGCCGCTGCCAACATGGTCTGTTGTTACTCCTGATATGCCAATTGCTTGGTGTAGGAAACCCCAAACGTAATCATTATCATTTGGGTTTCGGGTCTACAGGCCTCAGGGATTTGGGGTCCGGGTTTCAAGGTTGGTATTCTTGGACACACAGCAGCCAAGCATGTGTCTGCAAGGAAGAATGGACCTGCCTAAACCCTAAAGCTAAAGCCTAAACCTTTAAAACCTAAACCCTCAAGCCCTACATCCTAGCTTCGCCGACCCTACCTCATCCGAGGACCGAGCACCCTCACCCAGCATCTCAGCATATTGAGCTCCTCGGCCGAAGTTGCCGGCAGTCTCATCACCGGAACCTGGCGTGATAGAGGATAGGATTCGTGTTGGGGATTGAACTCGGATGTCGGTGTAGCTTCTAGGATCGGGCCTGTAGGTCATAATGCCGTAGTTTGGGGTTTTATCGAGTGGTCCACAGGGCATTAGAGATTCGACCTGTAGGCCATAAGGCCGGTTTAGGGCTTCAAGGGTTTTGGGCTTCAGGGCTTTAAGGCTTTAGTTGTTTTGTTTTGGTTTTTAGGGCTTTAGGGGTTTGGGCCTTTAGGGGTTTCGGGCTTTGGGGGTTTTGGGTTTTAGGGCTTCAGGGGTTTTGGGCTTCAGGGCTTTAGGGGTTTGGGTTTTGTGTTTTATGTCTTCAGGGGTTTGGGCCTGTAGGGGTTTTGGGCTTTAGGGCTTTCGGGGTTTGGGCTTCAGGGCTTTAGGGGGTTTTGAGCTTTAGGGAGTTGGGGCTTTAGGGATTTCGGGCTTTACGGTTTTAGGGGTTTTGGGCTTTAGAGGTTTAGGGGATTGGGCTTTTCGGGGTTTTGGGCTTTAGGGTTTTAGGGCTTCTGGGGTTTTGGGATTCAGGGCTTTAGGGGTTTTGGGCTTTCGGCGCTCACACTCGGACAATGGGCTTTACTGTTTTAGGGCTTCAGTATTCAGGGGTTTTGGGCTTTAGGGGTTTCGGGCTTGAGGGGTTATGAGCTTTACGGGCCTGTGGGTCTTTAACTTTAAAGCCGTTGCTGCGGGTTTCTCGAGCGGGGTATGGCATTGGAGGCTTCAGACTCGAGCAACCTTTTGGGCTCGTGTGGGCCATGCACGACGGGCCTTTGGCCCAGCGGCTTGTCCAAGCCACTCTTTCATAGAGCTCAGTGCAACTCAGCAAGCTTTTGTTGGAGCTACTGCCGCATAGCGAAGGGTTGAGGGTGTAGGGCTTAGGGCATTAATACCATCACCACGAAGTGCAAGCTGAGCTAACCTGGCACCCTACTTCTTGCCCCGTTTGGGCGGCTTCTGTTCATCCTCCTCATCATCATCATCACCTTTTCTCTTGGGTGCCGCCTTGCCCTTCGCTGCAGCCTGCTTTGGCTTTGCTTTCACTTTCGGCTCGGTCTTCGGGGTGCTTCCGGCGTTCGCCGGCATCCTTAATGCACAACAAGGAATGCTGCACATATTAGTGAGTAGCACCGATGCAAGGCCACATGCAAACGAAGTCTTTAGGGGTCGAGGGGCTGAGGGCTAAGGGTTTAGGGGTTAACGGTTCAGGGTTTAGTTAGGGCTTAGGGTTTATGGGACAAGCGGCTTGATGTTCTTGGAACGTTCGAAGATCATCTCAGCTTCGACGGCCCTTAGCATTGGTACAAATAAGGAAGGTTTGGGTTGAGCTCTTGCATGTTTTTCCAGCCACTCACCGAGTTGCCTCGTCTTGGCGATCTGGAACTGGGCTCGCATCTTCTTCTGGTCCCTTGGCGGGATTAGTGGGTTGATGGCAGCTGACAAACATGCATACCCCAAAACCACATCCTGATCAACAACAAGCACACTAATCTGTTTGTCGAGGCTCTCTTTCGTGAACCCAACAGCAACCCCGTTGCTTAGATCGTCGTGAGCTCGTCCTCCAGCTCGGCGAGCTTCCCCAGGATCGTTTTCAAGCTCTCCTTGTACCTTAGGTTTTGGGGTGGCACAGGAGGGCAGGTTGATGAATGTAGTCACACACGACAATTAGTCGAGCTGCTTGACCTGTGAACTCGAGAGAGGCATGCTTTTCTCCATGGACTCGAGTTTTAGGAGAACCGGTACGAGTTTCGAGCTCCGTTTCTGTAGACATGCAGTGACGAGCAGCAGCACATCTTGAGGTCGTTTGCCAACCTCTGGGAACATCACTTTCTTGAGTATTCTGCTGGCCTCTTCTCCATCATCGCTGCTGTCCTCATCGGACTCATCTCCTGGCTGCAAGTATTAGGGAGGGCTTCGGGGTTTAGGGTTTAAGGGAGCTAGTTAGAAGCTAGGTTTGGTAGTACTGGGCTTCCTGGGGCTCACGAAACTCGCGAAATCCACTTCCTATACTTAAGAATCAGTAACAAATCACCCGAAGCCCCCAACCTAGTCTTCTAACCCAATACTCGATTGAAGCCTAAACCTAAACCCTTAACCCCTAAACCTAAACCCTTAACCCCTAACCCCTGGCCCCTAACCCCTAAACCCTAAAATCCTAAACCCTACAACCCTAAACCCTTGCTTCAAAGGGAATGTAAAGGCCCGGGTTGAGGCTATTGGGGTTGTGCTTCGCTTAAGGCCCGGCGTGAGGCTATTGGGGTTGTGCTTCAAAGGCAATGTAACTGTAAAGGCCCGGCGTAAGGCGATTGGGGTTGTGCTTCTAACATGAGAGAACGATTGCCGGAACTTGGATTGAAGCCTAAACCTGACCCCTAACCCCTAAACCCAAAACCCTTAAAACCCTAAGCCCCCAAAACCCTAAACCTTACAACCTAAACCCTTGCTTCAAAGGGAATGTGAAGGCCCGGCGTGAAATAACACGATAGAACGATTGCCGAAACTTGGATTGAAGCCTAAACCTAAACCCTAATCCCTAACCCTTTTAAACCCTAAAACCCTAACACCCTAAATCCAGCTCCAAGGGCCCAGCCACACAACGGGGTGTTGAAAAAGTACAAGTACTGCTTCGTGTATCGATAAAGGCACAAGTCCTGGTAGTATTGGTAGTGCTGATTACAAAATGCAGTCGCAGCAACGGCGGCAGGAGCAGCAGCAGTAGCACAAGCATTTGCAGCAACATCAGCAGCATCACTAGCAGCGAGAGTAGTAGGACTAGTAGTGCCAGTAGTGCTGGTAGTAGTAGTAGTAGTAGTAGTAGTAGTAGTAGTAGTAGTAGTAGTAGTAGTAGTAGTAGTACTAGTAGCAGTAGTAGTACTAGTAGTAGTAGTCCTAGTAGTACTAGTGGTAGTACTAGTAGTAGTACTAGTAGTAGTAGTAGTAGTAGTAGTAGTAGTAGTAGTAGTAGTAGTAGTAGTAGTAGTAGTAGTAGTATAAGTAGTAGTAGTAGTAGTAGTAGTAGTAGTAGTAGTAGTAGTAGTAGTAGTAGTAGTAGTAGTAGTAGTAGTAGTAGTAGTAGTAGTAGTAGTAGTAGTAGTAGTAGTAGTAGTAGTAGTAGTAGTAGTAGTAGTAGTAGTCGTACTAGTAGTAGTAGTAGTAGTAGTAGTAGTAGTAGTAGTAGTAGTAGTAGTAGTAGTAGTAGTAGTAGTAGTGGTAGTAGTAGTAGTAGTGGTAGTGGTAGTGGTAGTGGTAGTAGTAGTAGTAGTAGTAGTAGTAGTAGTAGTAGTAGTAGTAGTAGTAGTAGTAGTAGTAGTGGTAGTGGTAGTGGTAGTGGTAGTGGTAGTGGTAGTGGTAGTGGTAGTGGTAGTGGTAGTGGTAGTGGTAATGGTAATGGTAGTGGTAGTAGTTTAGGGTTGTGCGGGGCACTGATGACCCCAGGAAAGCCTTTGGCCGCTGCACTCTCGTCATCGCCGTCGTGCGGGAACTCCTTCATGGCCTCCTCTGGATCCTGGCCGTCTCCCTGATCCTCACCTTCGAGAATCTCGGCCACAGTGTGCCTCTTGGTTTTCCTGGGCAAGGAAGCTGGGACAGAAGTTCGGGGCTACACACAAAAAAGATTCCACACATAATGTAAAACCATGTCACTTGTTGGAGCCCTTGACCCTCACAGCCACCCAGTACATCCACTCATCGCAGTATTCAGACTTCCTCTGCAACAGAGCAGCAGCAAAGAAGTTCGCACGATGAGCCTATGTGCAGTGAATCGAAACACGACAAGTAGAATCAATCTCCTCTTCCATCCGGGCCGTTTCTCACAGCTTCTCTTGGCACCCTTGATCTTCTTCCTCGGCTAAGGAACAAGGTAGTGATAGGGTTTTGACTTTAGGTTTTCGGGGTTCAGGGGTTTAGGGTTGTAGGGTTTAGGGTTGTAGGGCTTAGGTATGATCATCTAAGACACTCGCTCCAGCCTTTCTCTTCCATTTCCTGTTCTGTCAGGAATCGAACTCGGTTTCCACCGATTTCTCGTTGATCTCTTCGTACTTTCGGTTGATTCTCTTCGAGAAGAGGACCTGGCTGCTTAGTGGGAGATTAGCAGAGAAAGTATGATATTGTATCGACAAGGTACCATAAACGAGACAGGCAAAAGGGGTCGCAACCACACTTCTCGAAGCTCCGGTAGACTTGCTCCCTAGTTTCGAGGATCTTGTAAGTGTTGATAACATCCTGTGGTATCTTGTACGACCCATCCTCCCTTGGCGTACACAACCGGGCCAGCCGTTTCATCAGGGTGGCTTTGCTCACCTGTGCGGGAGGGGCGACGGCCTCATCCTCCTCTCCTAGACAATACTCATCATCCTGGTCCTTCGTCTGGCCTGGCCTGGCTTTGCTGTTGGGAAGGAGTCGTTTGGCCTGGGCTTTGGCTTTTGCCTGGCCATCCTGGCCAGTTGCGGCTTGCTCCGGGGTCTTGGTTTCATTGGGCACAAGGGACTGGCTCTGGGCGGCCTGGCTTTCTGCGGGTTTTTTGCTCTCAAGGGACTGGCTCTGGGCGGCCTGGCTTTCTGCGGGCTTTTTGCTTTCAAGGGGCTGGCTCTGTGTGGCCTGGCTTTCTGCGGGCTTTTTGCTTTCAAGGGACTGGCTTTGGCTGGCCTGGCTTTCTTCAGGCTTCTTGATTTGAACAGGCTGGCCGGTCTGGCTTTGTGGCTGCTGGGTCTCGGGGGCCGAGTCCTGCACTGTGTCAGGGAAGGTTTGGCGGACAGGCGAAGTTTGCTCGCTTGGGGTGTGAGGCGGTGGCAAAGAGGAGAACTGCTGCTGGGAGCCCGTCTGGGAGGAGTGCCAGGAGGTGCCACGTGACGGACCATCCTATGTCGACAAACAACCAACACTGTATTCAGCTCAAGAACAAGACACACTCATACAAGCAGGTCCTTCTTGCTGGCCGGCTCCAAGCCCTGGGCCTTCATCTGAGCCTGGGATCGGTTACAATGGGGGCCCATCAAGGGAAGAAGCCTTCGTGAATGCATCCCACACATTTGGTTCTACTCAAGCCAGAGCACCAAAAGGGCCTCTCTCTGGGCCAAAAGGCTGTCCATGCAGGGATCTCCCTCCATGGCTCAAAACAGCAGAACTCCAAACCCTATGTTGGGCCACAAAAGCCTGCACAACACAGGTCACAGCTGATGCTCTGCTGGGGTGGGGGACCCATCCCGGCTATTCCCGCCCTTTGGACGGGCGCGGACGCTGCTTGGACGGGTATTCGCCGGCAGCCGGCAGCCCAAAATGTAGGAAATCCCGGCCAAACCCCCTAAAACCAGTAGTAGGGCCTGCAAAACTCCGACCAACCCCCAAAACCAGTGGTAGGGCCTGCAAAACTCCGACCAAAGTCCCAAAACCAGTGCTGAGGCCTGGACAACCCCGACCAAGCCCCGAAAACCCGTGGCGGGGCTTGCTTCCCCGATGTTCATGTTGCTCGCTCGGCCCCCTTTCTCTGTCACTGTCTGTGTCATTTCATCACTTTGCCCTCTCTCTCTCTCTCTCTCTCTCTCTCTCTCTCTCTCTCTCTCTCTCTCTCTCTCTCTCTCTCTCTCTCTCTCTCTCTCTCTCTCTCTCTCTATCCCTCCCTTTGCCCTAACACTGTCTGAGTGCCTAAATAATTACTTGTCAACACAGTCATGCAGTGTCAGCAACATAGCATCTTCTTTTGCGGCACACCAGGCAAGCTCCGAACCTCAATCCATTTCCTCCAAGAACTTGCGTGCAGCAGCTTCTGCCCTATGCAAGCATGTCGGCTTGTGCTCTCCAGGTCTGTCTTTGCAAACTGAGCAGCAGTGGATATGTGGAGGAAAAACCTTACGATCACACGTCATGCAGTCTCTAACCGGCTCCAGTGCAACGATAGCAGCATTCATCAACGAGCATTTCTTGCTATGACGTTCGTTCTTTCGACAGCCACGACAGTAGTAGCGATGCAGCCCATCCACCAACCGTGCACAGCCTTCTTTCGAGCAGACTCTTTGATCGTGGTTTCCATTGGATCCGACTGCTAGGGCTGCTAGGGCCGCCATACTGATTGCTGCGTAGTACCGCACCTACAATGGAATGTAGTGGAATGCTAAGCTAGCTAGCACCTAGGACCTAGAGTGGAATACGAAACTAGCTCTTTGACAAACCAACACTGATCTTTGGACTTCCCAGGCAAAGCGTGGCGACTTCGGAGCCCGACTTGCAGCTTCAGTCGGCCAAGGGATCTAGGGTTAAGGGTTTTGGGTGCTTCAAAAAGAGAGAGCGAGAGAGAGAGAGAGAGAGAGAGAGAGAGAGAGAGAGAGAGAGAGAGAGAGAGACAGAGAGAGAGAGAGAGAGAGAGAGAGAGAGAGAGAGAGAGAGAGAGAGAAGGAGAGAGAGAGGTCGACGGAGAGAAACAGAGCGAACTCACAGGATTGAATTTGGCTGAAATGCCTTCGTGTTGAGGGTCTGGGGTTGGGCTGGAAGGCTTTCGGGATTAGGGGTTTAAGGTTTAGGCTTAAGGCTATTGGACTTCGAAGTTTGGCATTTGGGCTTTGGGAGTTGTGCAAAGACTTGGTAGTTTCTGGTTTCACATTCACAAGCGAGATAAGCCACTTTCATGGATTAAAGGTTTAAGATCTTTGACTTAGGTTTTGGGTAGATGCTACAGAACAAACACCGAATCCCCAAAATCCTTAGATTATTGCGTACAGAACTTGAACCCTTCTTGCTGCAAAGGCTTGGGATTAAGAAGCCTAGGATCCGGGATCACAAATAGAGCTTAAACCACATAAACCCCTAATATCCTGTAATGCCAAATAGTTGTTCTTTGGGGGGCTTCACTCGTGTGCTTCAGGATGCAGGGCTACAACTTGAACCTGGAGACCTCAAGCCCTCTAGATTCTATGCCGCACAACCGAAGGAGTTTCAGGTTGGGGCCTCCGACAACCAATACCTGGAACACCCCCCTTCTCAGTCTGAAATCGCACAAAGATAAAGGCAAGTATTCGAACCCCAAAGCCATTTCGGCGCTCACACAGGGTTTAGGGTTTTAGGGTTCAGGCTGAGGGTTTGGAGTGCTAGATCGAAGAAAGCTACCAAAGCCCGTCCCAAGCCAGGCCACAATCTCAAGCGGCAAGCCCCACGATCCTCAGACCCGCCCCGGAAACCCCAAGCACCTTAAACCTTAAAGTAACCTAAGCCTTCCAAACACGTAAAACCTGAAAGTAACCTAAGCCTTCGCACTCGGAACGAGAGCATCTTATCTTCAATATCTATGCAGAGACTTGGCTTCAGTATCAATCAATGCAGTCGCTGGTCATGAAGACTCACTCAACTTTTGTTGCTGCCACGAACATACTGCATCTCTCGCCATGACTCTTGCTTCCTCTAAAGGGCAGTGTTTGGCGACCCAGCAAGCATAACCCGGTGCGTGCAGGTAGTCACTCCTGAACACTAACTTAAGCACAGCCCACACTCGCCCCTGGAAAGCAGACACCCGTCAGGGGATCCTAGTTGATCCCAGAGAGTTGCACTGGAACTGAAACACAAAAGCAGGCCCGAGTCGATGCTATGACTCAGGATCACTCATGTAGCCGGCGGTCGGATCGTACCACGGAGCCTCGGATAGGGTGGCATAGTTCATGGGAACTTGTAAGCTTTAATTACAATTGAAACAGTTCATTGCTCTAGACGGGCGGCTTTAGTTGTCAAGGTTGTCCAGAGCACCATTTGCTCTCTGCATTTCCAACCACTCAAAGGCAACCTGCTGTGCCTTCGATCTGAAGTGGGGCTGTTCCTCCTGGATCAGAATGGGCCGGCAGTGCTTCCAGAAGAGATCCTGCAAGCAGAACATAAATGGGTTTCGACTTAAGAGAGCTTAGGGCGTAGAGGGTGTTAGGGTTTGGAAAGGTCTAGGGCTTGATGATTCGAGGCCTAGAGGGTTTAGGAGGATTGTGGGCTTTGAGTATGATCAAGGCCTTAGCCAGGAGTGCGTAGAGAAGCATTAGAATCAGTCGAAATTCAGGGTTTTTAGGTTTCTCCGATTAAGCAGCGATTTAAGTTTAGGGATTTAGGGGTGTGTGGCTTTAAAGTAAACTTTAGGGTTCAGGGCTTCTCGGGTTTAGGTGGGACTAGATTTCGGCTGGCAATCCTCGTGCTTAACAGGGAAACGGAAGTGTTGGCGAATCACGGCGTTGAAGGCATCCCGGATGGACGTCCAAAGGCACTTGGGGTCCCCCTCGGTTGGCGGCTCGAACCTTCTGGCGAACGTCTTTTTGAGCGGAGGCTTCGGCTCGTTGCCCTTCTTGGCAGGCTTCGGCAGTGGCTCGTCGTCGTCACCCTGCTTGCCCTTCTTAGCAGGCTTCGGCACTGGCTCGTCACCCTGCTTGCCCTTCTTCGCAGGCTTCGGCTTCGGCTCGTCGTCACCCTGCTTGCCCTTCTTCGCAGGCTTCGGCTTCGGCTCGTCGTCACCCTGCTTGCACTTCGTAGCAGGCTTCGGCTTCGGCTCGTCGTCACCCCGCTTGCCCTTCTTGGCAGGCTTCGGCTCCTCGTCGTCACCCCGCTTGCCCTTCTTGGCAGGCTTCGGCTCCTCGTCGTCACCCTGCTTGCCTCTTTTGGCAGGCTTCGGCTTTGGCTCCTCCTCGTCGTCACCCTGCTTGCCTCTTTTGGCAGGCGTCGGCTTCGGCTCCGTCACCCTGCTTGCCTCTGTTGGCAGGCTTCGGCTTTGGCTCGTCGTCGTCACCCTGCTTGCCTCGTTTGGCTGGCTTCGGCTTTGGCTCCTCGTCGTCACCCTGCTTGCCTTGTTTGGCTGGCTTCGGCTTTGGCTCCTCGTCTTCACCCTTCTCCAAAGGCTTGGCCCGGGCTTTTGCTTTCCCCTTCGGCCAGCCCCTCTGGCCACCACCCTTTGTTGCCGACTTGGCTGCAGGCCGCTTCATGGGAATCATCGTCTGCCCGCTTCGCCTGCTCCCTTTCTTGCATCTGGTCTCTCCGTCTCGTCTGAACCTGCCGAGCTTGGAGAGTGGCCGATTGAAGGTTCAGGGGTTAAGTAAGGGTTAGGGTTTTGGGGTTTTGGGTTTAGGGTTATTGGCTGTGGTAGTTGTTGCACTGTTTGTAGTATGAGTACTAGTACTCGTACGAGTATTAGTGGTAATGCTAGTACTACTACTACTACTACTACTACTACTACTACTACTACTACTACTACTACTACTACTACTACTACTACTACTACTACTACTACTACTACTACTCCTACTCCTACTCCTACTCCTACTCCTACTCCTACTCCTACTGCTACTGCTACTCCTACTCCTACTCCTACTCCTACTCCTACTCCTACTCCTACTACTCCTCCTGCTGCTGCTGCTAGTACTATCGTTCCTTGGCTATAGTTTTTAGGACACATACAAAGAAGAGCTCATCCTAGCATTCGCCCACAACCTCAAAAGTTCCAATGTGCTGCGGCCCCATAAAAGCAAGCTTACATAATCCTCACCGAACCCCACAAGTTAAGGAGTCTCTGCGTGGCAGATTTGCCTTTGGCTATGCTCGGGAAAGTAAAACTTTGGGCCTTGGCTTTATTTGGCCGGGCTCCTAAAAGGACGGCTTCCTAAATCCTTCGTATTGTAAATACTAGCCTGCCAATGCTGAGCCCTGAATTCCGTGAGCCAAGACTCTCGAAGCCTGCAGGAGTTGAGGATTTGGGGGTTTCGGGAATTTGGGATTAGGAGATTTTGGGATTAGGAGCTCGGTGTATAGGATTTAGTGCGATGAAAAGCATTTAGGATTTGGGAGTTTCGGGGTTTCGGATTGCTAGGAGCTCCGGGTATAGTACTTAGTGCGAGGAAAGACTGAAGCCTGAAGCCCAAAGTACCGTGAAAGACTGAAGCCTGAAGCTCAAACTGGATTTGCCCCACCTTGCAAGCCAACAGATCAGGAGAGTCGGGCTCCGACCGAATCGCCAGCGACACAGACTCTGGGCACGGACTTCCTGGCTGTGCCTCGCCTTGATCCTTCAAGACTCCAGGACCAGTTCAGACCTGTGCTAGATCCCCCGAAACTCCAGGGGCAACTGCTGCCTGTGTTGGGTCTGCTAGATCCTGCGAAACTCCATGGGCAACTGCGGCCTGTGTTGGGTCTGCTAGATCCTGCGAAACTCCAGGGGCAACTGCTGCGTGTGTTGGGTCTGCTAGATCCTGCGAAACTCCAGGGGCAACTGCTGCTTGTGTTGGGTCTGCTAGATCCTCCGAAACTCCAGGGGCAACTGCAGGCTGTGTTGGGTCTGCTAGATCCTCGGAAACTCCAGGAGCAACTGCAGGCTGTGTTGGGTGTGCTAGATCCTCGGAAACTCCAGGAGCAACTGCATGATGTGTTGGGTCTGCTAGATCCCCCGAAACTGCTGGGAGCTCTGAAGCCGCCCTTGCCGGGGTGGCCACGGGTACATTGCTTGGAGCCACATCTTTCGAAGAAAGGGCCTCGAGGGATAGATGACTCCTAGCATCCTGCCGCACAAACCCACCCACAGCTTCCGAGGTAGCTGGAGGATCTGCGAAGGCATCCTGCTCATGCCCATCATCTAGCCGCTCCGGCCAAGCGATGGTCCGTTGGCTGTCCATGTGCTGCAAACCTGGGAGAATGTTGGGGTTCGGGGCTTCAGGATTTAGGGCTTGGGGCTTCAGGGTTTAGGGGCTTAAGGATTCCGGGCTTTTGGGCTTCGGGTGTTGGCTTTCCATGTGCTGCAAACCTGGGATAATGTTGGGGCTTGGGGCTTCAGGGTTTCGGCGCTCGCACTCGGACTTCAGGGTTTAGGGGTTTAAGGTTTCGGGGCTTTTGGGTTTCGGGTTTTCAGGCCGTGAGGCCTCAAAGAGTTTAAGGACTTCGGGGGTCGCCGGTTTTGGGGGCTGGAACAAGATTGAACTGAGGTGCTGTGCCACCGTTGGATTGCCATCTGGCCAGACAAAGCTGCTCTTCGATGGGCGATTTGCTGCCTCGGCTGCTCAGCTTGAGATACAACACCAGTGCTTTCATTATTGATGTGTTCGAACGAGCACCCTTCATTTGAAGCAAGATGCTCCAGCTCAGCCAACCGTTTCACCAGATCTGTGCCTGCACCAGCCTCGCCTTCATTGCCATCAAGCAAAGCTGGCCGATAAGGCACCGGCTCCCCTTCATTGCTCAGCTCATAGGCCACCGTACCCACATAGGCCGAAGGTGGTTGCGGGCTTCCCGGAACAAGGCCCATGGCCTCGGCTAGGTAGTCATCAACCTCAGCTGCTTGAGAATCTTCCTCAACCTCATCCTCGGTCAACTGTAGCTCCTCTTCCTCTTCCTCCTCCTGGCCTTCCTTCTCACACTCATCATCATCTGGATTCTCGGCTTCCTCAACCAAGGTCCTGCGGCTGCGGGCCTTCGGCGGCCAGCTCTTGGCCACCTCGTCGAAGATGGCCTTGAGGCGGTGATCCTCACATGATGCTTAGGCAACCTACACATAATGGAATGTGCAAACCCAAGACCCAGAAACTAGGATGAGTAGAGGGACCTTTCTCACAGATCCGTCATGTCGCCGAATAATGTAGCTCACGAACATTTTCAAGCTGTGGCTGGTGCAGTGGCACAAACCGTTCTTGGGAGTGACCTCGATCTCTTCGAAGAACCGCCTGACCTGATCATGATCATTAAAACAAGAAATAAAACATAACCAAGCAGGAACAAACACGAGTTGCAGTACTGCAATGTTGAAACTGTATGGTGCTACCGAGTAGCGTGCTGCTTCAGGCTTTGCACGGGCACGGTCTTGGGCTCATTCTTTGGGCAGTAGATTTCAAGCAAAGGCAAGATCACCTTCCAGTTCAGCATCAGAGACCTCCGGTTTATGAGCCCAACCTTGGAGGGGTGTTCCCATTCCAGCAAGCTTCCCTTCTTCCGGCTCTGTTTGCGTAGCTGACGGTTCTCCTCCCAGGCCTCCCAAAGACCTGTCAAGTCCGCCGCCCTTCTCGGTTTCATCACCTTGCGAGGCGGAGTCTGCGGCACGAGGATGTCGGCCATGCTGAAGTATGGCAGAGAAAAAAAGCACTCCGGGGGGAAGTGTCCGTAAGTCCCCGGGTCCGGCCCAAAAGCTTCAGAAGCACAGAACAAGAACTTTCAATCCATGCGTGTACCACTGAAGCAGTGAAAACACACAGCTGGGAAAGCACGACGGGGCACCACTTCAGTGATGCTCAGGCCACCAGTCACAACCTGCACCAAGACCAAATCACTCTAGCGAATCGGGCTATGCGACGGTTTTGCAGGCCTCAGCCCAATCGCTCCAGCGAGCAGTTGCAAATGAAGACCTGCTGCAGCGTGGGATTTTTTTAAGGGTTAAGGGTTTGGGGAACTGTGGATCAAGAGCCTTATCGTCGTTCTGCAGTAAGTCGAAGCATCCACCAGAAGCCACTGGGCCTCGAGCGATAACCCACTCAGAGGTTAAGGGTTTGGGGAATTGCGACTGAAGAGCCTTATCGTCGTTCTGCGGTAAGTCGAAGCCATCCACCAGAAGCCACACCGGCCTCAGGCGATAACCCACTCAGAGATTAAGGCTTAAGGGTTTGGGGAATTGCGATTGAAGAGCCTTATCGTGGTTCTGCGGTAAGTCGAAGCCATCCATCAGAAGCCACCCGGCCTCGGGCGATAGCCCACTCTATACAGAAAGAGCGAATTGGATAGATGAGAGAGAGAAAGAAGAAGGAAGATTGAGGGAACGATGCAGCATATGCTCGGTGTCGGACCATGCGGAGCCGAAGCATGTCAAACCTGCGAAGGCACCGATCTAAAAAGCGATGGGGCTCTGGACCAAACTCAGTCTTCACCCAATGTTCGAGGCTTTTTTCAACAAGCTCGAGCGGATGCGGTCTTCCTTGCCCATGATCTAATTGGACTGCTCTCCCACATCCTTCCTGGGCGCCTTCTCCTTCTCTGGTGTCTGAGGTTGAGCACAAAGTCCTGGGCAAGAGGAATTTCATAATGATTATCTACTTTGGCCACAACTCAAATCACAACTGCATTCGGAGGCTCGAATCTTTTCCTGGGCCCCCCAAAACTGCTTCGCCAGCTCTCTGACCGACCCGCCATCTCGATAGTTCTGAACTATGACGGCTATCTCGTCGGGGCTCAGGACATCCTAGGGAAGGATCTATGAAGGAGGCTGCAAATGCTTCACATGATTCATCGAATCTCTGTGCTTTCAAGTGACGTGAGGATTCTCGATCTCTGGCCAGAGCACCCCTTGGACTTGATGGAAGAAAGCCAGGGGCATTTCCTGGAGTCCTGGAAAAGCTCAATCATCACAACGAACTGCTTGCTACGAGTTTCTGCTAATGCGAAAATCAGGGTCCTACGGACTTCAGGAGCTCGAAGCACTCCATAGGCACAGGAAGTTGCTCCATGATCAAAGCCCTGCTGCCCAATCAAAAGCCCTCGAGCACAAAAGCAACTGGACAATCAGAGGCTCAAGCACACTTCGCAACCAATCACAATGCTCACGGCATCACAACAGCTGCAGCAGAGCGGTGGGCCCACCTTGAAGGGGAACCAGCAGCTCCACAACGGGAGCCAAAGAGCTGAGACGGCCCAAAACACAAATCAGCCGCCAAATCTACAAAAGCGCCGACAAACCTGCAATCCCGCATCCGACCGCTTAAAGGCGACTTTACCCGGCGCCGGCATTTATAAAAGGCGTAAGGGTTTCCCAGGTATATATATACACACACATAATAAACACATATGTGCATATATATATATATATATATATACACATACATTCACATCTTTACACACATTTAGCTATTACGTGTACACATACTGATACATGCAATTATGTACATATGCAGTTTTGTGAGGGTATGTCTATAAACAGCCAAATCAGATGAATGAACAATCTATACATCCATCTATTTTTGTTATTATTATTATTCTTCTTCTTCTTCTTCTTCTTCTTCTTATTCTTCGTATTCTTATTCTTATTCTTATTCTTCTTATTATTATTTTTCTTCTTATTCTTCTTCTTCTTATTATTATTGTTATTATTATTAGTATTGTTATTTTATTATTATTATTATCATTATTATTGTTATTATTGTGATTATTGTTACCGTTATTATTATTATTAATATATAGGTATACATATACATATATGCACCTACACAATACACACCCATACCTGCCCGATCCGGCGAATTCCGACTCCATCTTAAGCACGGCAACACTCCACATCCTACGATCACCGAACAAACCGCCACTGCACTGTATCTTGTATAGCAATCCTTATTTTGGGGGTTGGCTGTAGGGGTCACTGTAGGGATCACTGTAACTTGTCGTGATCCTGAGAGTGACCCTTATCGTCACCACCAAGCTGCGAACCACTCTGGCAGCTCTTATTACTATTATTATTAATATTATTATTATTATTTCCATTATTACTATTACAATTACAATTATTATTATTATTGTTATTACTATTACTAATACAATTATTATTACTATTATTATTATTACTATTATTATGATTATTTTTATTTGCTTCCAAGGCCCTAGCCGGCGTGCCACACCATCGCCTTCCCGGAGCCCCATGGCTCCGGCTCTGCCCCAAGAAGTGGTGGTTTTCGGATTGAAGGCCTAAATGGCGTTGAGAACAGGGGTTTAGGTCCGTTAAGGAGAATAAGAATATAGGGGTTTAGGTCCGTTCAGGATTCGTTTTCTATACGTGTTTTTCTGATGCACTTCTTCTGTCCCTTCTGATGCCATGCCAACGTGCTTGCACCTGCCGGGCCGAGGTCAGCACTGCTCGTGGATTACCACTCCTACCGCGGGGAAAGGATCTGCAGTTCCTTGGGGGCCACGTGGATCGAGGGATTGAGATTTGTACTGAAAGTCTTGCGCACTATATCTGGCATGTTATGAGAAAAATCACAACGCCTCCAGCTGTTCGCCGGAACTTTCTGAGAGGACTCGCCAAAGTGAGGTCGGAGAGGTAGTCGCAAGTTTCAACAAGTTTCACGGTTCCCACTTTCCTGACTTTCGGAAGTGCGCAAAGTCTGCAAAATGCATCTTGCAGCTGAGATTTTTGAATTCCCCGCCAGCGGTTTGAGCGGGCTTCATGTGTCGGTGGATCTTCGGATAGCGGCGGTTATAAATCTCAAATGCAGTCTGCTATTTGATAGTACCGAAAGCACGACTCGCCATGGACGACGGCCATGGGCTGCCACCGTAGCAACATTTTCCTTGATCGGGATGAACTTCGATTCGCATGATTGATGCTGCTTTTATAGTAGTAGAGTGGCAGGCTCGAAGTGCGGAGACAGCAGCGCGTATGTTGCTAAACGTGTGTTGCTACAAAACCTCGAGGTGACTGAACTATTACTCTCTGCTTTCTTTTGGCCCATCCCACAAGCCCAGCACGCCCAGACTCTTGACCTTGTCGGTCTCTGGCCTACCTTGCATGCTGGCCATGCTGCATGGATGCCTTCAGCGACCGGAAGCTTCCAAGTCTGGATGCTCCTGATCGGATCCCAGGTCCCAGGGAGCATGAGAAGCTAGGAATCCTTCAAGCTATCACAGAACTTGAAGTGTTTCAAACAGGTGTTTTGCCTAGGTATTTAGTGGCTGTTGTACTACCGCTACAGTGTTGATCTCGTCAGGCACGTGTCGGGCAATCTTTTCTCTTTCAAGGGCAGAGCATAGAAATGGCGGCAAAACATGCATGTCCACCAACCGTGTAGCAGGACTGGACTGTGAACGTTAAATGCTAGAGCTGGGGTAAGGTATGCGTGCCAGAGCAGCACCTTACAGAAATGTCGACACACAGCTAGCTGGAGCCATCACCCACTATTCTCTACTGTGTCTAGCTGGATCAGACTTCCCGCGTTCGGCGCAGTGCACCACTGCATTGCCGAGAGGTGCGACATTTCAGTCAGACGTGGAAAGATATGGCGTTTGTGCGTCAGCTGCCTCTTGACACTACTAGAGTATTTAATCCAAGCTCCAAAGTTTCGGATGTGATCCGATCGAGAGGAGGAGTGGGCCAAGTATTCACATACGACTGTCCCACAGAGAATTTGGAAATGCCTGCTGTCTTTTACATTGAGTTTACATGTAAGTGCGGTAATCATACATTTTAGAGGTGAAGTTGTGTCATGCTTCGTTCGCACTGCATTGCATGCTCCGTGATGCCTTCTCTCAGGTGTCCACATGCATGCCCAGACACCTCCGAAGAGCCGTGGCCAGGCCTGGCGATTGTGTTCGGAGCAGTGAGATGTTTGCCAGGCTTGTCCAGGCTTGTCCAGGCTCTGTATCTTCATGCATACATGCATGCATGCATATACTTACTTACCCGCGCACATACAACTACATTCATACGTACAGACATACGTGTAAGAACGAGCTGACTGCTCGTGCTTCTCTTGCCGGATGCCGCTGACTGGGCACGTTCACGGTCGACGGTTGCATAGGGGCGGAGGTAACCTGACATTTCTGAGATCTGCCAGGGCGCGATGGACATTTCCAGCTCGGACCTTAGTGAGGACGACCTACCTGGGTGCACAAGTCTTCACAGCATAAGACCTGCGCTCGTGCAGTAGAAGAACGGCGTTGTGTTGGGGGTCAACTTGAACTTCTGCGGATCTTTAAAGGAGGAACCTTTATAGATTATTTCATGTGCCAGTGTAAGTAATTACCTGGAATGCTTTGGATAAGACTAAGGCAAGCACGTTAAAACATGGGTTCGGATTCTGCAAGCTGCGTATTCTCATAAGGCATGGAGATAGCACGGCAGAGAGAGAGAGAGAGAGAGAGAGAGCGAGAGATAAGGCATGGACTACGTTGGCAATGCCAAGGCTTTCTATTACGTGAGTTGGCTTCAACAACTCGCTGGAAACGAAGATACCTCTACATAAGCCTGCGTATCTTAAACTCTGTGTTCAAGCCCTGGTAAAGACTGCGAAGCTTCCGAAGGCCCGGCCGGCAAATCCAAACCGCTGCCGAAGCAGCGGAGTAAGGCCGAAACGGGGTAGGTGTATAAGGTATATACATATGTGTGTATGTGTGTGTATACATATATATATATATATATATATATAATAGTTGTATTTACAGATATGGATTTTCAGTGATATCGAGAATCGCTGTAAAGCCCTGACGGAGCTTCTTTCTACCCTTCCGGCCAGGCATATCTGGATCTGTGTTGGTTTCTCCCTTGTTGTTTTGTCTCTCTCTCTCTCTCTCTGCCTCCCTCCATCCGCGATACATGTGTCAATGACATTTTCGATTTGTACTTCTACCTGTCCGCCTGTCCGCGATCAGTCTGTGAAGCTGGGAATTCTATCCCCTGCGGCCGACCGCAGGCAGCCTCGGGTGACGGGGCGGCAGGATCTGAGTCGCCAGGTTGGGTGCTTCGCCTTTACTCCGAACTTCAACGTGTGGGGTTGCTCCGATGCCTGAAGCTAAGTAAGGCTACTACGGCTACTAGAGTTGGAGGTTGGTTGCCGGGAGATGGGCCCCTCCCTCGACATTTGCAGGTACAGAGCTAGGCGATTTATTATCATGAGACAACCTTGAGCTCGAGTGCCACCTTTTGCCAACGTCGACACCCACAACTTTGTTAAACACCCTAAACTCTAGACTCTGGCAGGTCTCCACCTCTAGTTCAGTATCTCAAAAGACGACACATGTGCCAGAACCGATTCGGCCATTGATGTAGGAGCCGCCCCAAAGATCTGCAGCCGTGAAAAGCATATGGCTGTCGTTTGAAGTTGCAATTCAAGCCCAGCTACGTACATGAAGGATATCCACATGCAGCGCACATACACATGTATATATATATATACATGCATACATAGGTACATACGTACATACATACATACATATGCATGTATGTATGTGTGCATACTTATGTATATATCTATATATATATATATATGGTAGATATGTATGATTCGTTTGTTTATGTACCCCATGCGGTTGTTAATCTGGTCATTTGCTGTGGACCTGTTGATGTATTCTGGGTAACTGGGCTTCTGGAATCAGCCGCTGTCCTGATATCAGGCCTCGTTGCGCTCTCGGGACACCGGCTTTCAGGGTTCGGTTTAAGATCTTCTGAGCTCAGCTTCCAGAAGACTTTGGGGAATTCGCACAGACTAGCGGGGTACCGTGCCTTAGAACCAGGATCCTAGTAATCGCAGGGTCTATCTTTGAGTGCCGGCGGAGTTGTAAGCCCTGACCTTCCTGGGCGTGTTCCGGTGCCCGAAATCCGTCCACCCCAAAAAAGACAAGAAGTGTTTATCTAGGATTCTCTAAGCGTCCCTTGCTGAAATCCCGAGATGGCTAGAAGAATGTCTTGGGAGGCTCCGCTTCGCCAGTACCGGGCCGGGGTCTGAGCAGGCTCTCAGCTTTCAGCTTCGAGGCTTCGGCTTTGGGACGAATATGGGAGTTTCCGAAAATTAGGGGTACCTTGTTTTGGGGTCCTTATAATAGGGATCCTACTATTTAGGGTACTATATTAGGGTCCCCTATTTTTGGAAACTCCTATATAGGTGTCAGTACATAGGGTTTCGTTCGGTAGTTCACAGTAGAGCAAAAGCCCGAAACTTGGAGCATGAACATCATTACACTCTCATGCCCTTCAGGCAAAGTATAGGGAATCTCAGCGCGAACCATTCCAGCTCCATGTTCGCATCTTCCAGAGATCACTATATATAGCAATAATGTCATGATCAGAACCGGGTGTTGATGTAAGTTGTTATAGTCTAACTACATGATAAGACGGCCTCGAAGGGGAGGCAATTGCTGAGCACATAGAGCATAATATCAATCTTGAGGGTGCGACGTGGGAATTCTGGGCTGAAAAGGCCATTGTGGGAGTCTAGATCGACTTAGGCTTGAGCTTGTGAGAACGGATTTCAATGAACGGTTATGTCATCTACATTTGTTTTAATCATGTGCCGTATCGTTTGGGTATCACTGGGTTCCCTGTAGAAAGCAAGAATTCAGATCTTCGGCTGTGCGGCCGGAAAGCAGCCTGCTGCCAGGGAGCAGATACATGAATGATAGAGAATGAGCTGATGTTATAACAGAGACCTAGAAATCCAGGGAAAACCACGAATTTGGAACATTTGCTTCGTTGAGTCGCGCCCACAAGTGGGATCGCCAGTATGTGCACAAATTCATCTCACTTAGGCTCTTGATTTTGATCGACTTAAGCTGCGTAAATCCTGGTTGTCATACTTGCAAGGAGCCGAATTGGAGCGTCGCTGACGGGGTGTTGAGAAATCAGTGGGGCACGGCTTTCGGAGAGGTTCTGAAGTCCGGCGCGTGCTGCGCAGCAGCAGTCGGCTGTCTATGTTGACACACCACCTGTGTTCATTCGTTGAATGACACCCTATCTCTTGACACGCTGGAACGACTTAGCTGCCTTAGCTATGACAAATCTACGAACGTCTGCCGTCATCTTGCATTGGCTCAAGGCTTATAGGCTCGTGACTATCCTGGACCGCGATGAGACTCGGTCCCTCAGATTTGGCAGATCATAGAACGACCCTATATACCACTTGTCTCGGCCTGAACACCGTCCGAAACCAGGTGCTGCGAATGACGCCGGGTCGGAGTTCCTGCAAACTCCAACAAACATACACCCTCAACCCTAAGTCCTATAAACCCCCAGCCCCAACACACATAATTGGTTTCGCCCTGAGGATCAGACCAGGGGAGCGTGTGAATCCAGCTTGCATTTCGGGGCCTGCTACCTGCTTCGCAGCCTATGTTGTAGTAGGTTTAGGTATATCATCGATAACCCACTACAATATACTATACTATTCCAAGCAACGAACAGTATGCTGTATACTCTATTCTAGCCACTCGCTCAGCGCATCACGTTTTGGGCACTACCTGGATATCAGTCGATGCGAGATTGACGCCATGCCGGTCGCAGATCTCCCAGGTTGAACCCATTGGCCTGTCTTCAGACCAAAAAGGCCGAGCCTGCATGGTGTAGCATCGTAGTTTATGGTATATGTAAGAATGGATAACCTGATAACCTTTAGCAGGCTTTAATATAATTATGTTATGGTCCAACATAAGGGATAATCAACAATATGTTTTCGCAGATTGTTGTATATGTATGTATGTATGTATGTATGTATGTATGTATGTATGTATGTATGTATGTATATATGCACATATAGATATATGTAGATAGTGATGGATAACCTATTGTCTAGTGACTTCCCGGAGGCCTGGGCTCCATGATGCGAAGCGTGCGGAGCTCTTTGAGCTCGTTCGGCCAGGAGAGCGTTTGCATAAATGTTTTGTTGGGCCAGCCACCCAGAAACCAGGTTCACTCCAAACCCTCACCTGCTGAGTTCGAGTGCGAGTGCTAAAAAATGTAAGAGTTCAGAACCAGTCATGCCCCTTTGTAATTTTCCAGTGGGTGTGGCAGCGGCAAGGACTTAGACAACACCGATGGACCAGATGTGCCAGCGACACCAAAGACCGGGCCGAGCCGAACTTTTGGAGTTTCACTTCCTTTAGCTAAGACTTCTTGGGCTGCGCACGAAGGCGGGTTCTTCAAGACTGTAGCTATGTTTGCTTAGCTTCCCTTTTGAGGACCATGCAGACTCTATTTCCTCTGACGGCTTCGGAGCTCCCTCAACCCGTATGGTGCGTGCCGTTAGTGCAGTCCTGTGGCATTGACGGGCACGAAAATGAGGCACGTGCCATCCTGCTTCTCTTTTGCAAACCTGTGCTGCTGTGGGTTTGCCTGCGCTCGCCCGTGGCTCTGTGCCCGCAGTGGGAGGAAGAGCGGCGCGGCAGAACGGCTCCGAAGTTCGGTGCGCTACTTCGGAAGTACCTTGGCTAAGTCTGAAAGGTAAGCTTGGGCAACCATTGGTGACTCACATCTAAGACACTGACTGCCCAGAAGCTTCGCATCTATGTTCGAGAGGTATTTCCTGCTACACTTTTTTGGTATGTTCCCATCGGATCTCATCGGAGCTCGACCATGAATTTCCTTGAAATATGGTCCGTTCTCGTTTCCGGCATAGACTCTTCTTGCAGGCAATTGGCACGATTGGACCATTGCATAGGGGTTGTTCCGCACACTTCTGTCTCATTGCACCTACTTTCGGCCTCCTGCCAGCACAAACTGATTGCATTTGCTCTAGGTCTAGTCTATGCAGTTGGAACCCGCCAGTCCTGCAGTCGACTGCGTGTTGAAGGGTAGCCTGCTGGACACTTGCAACAAAAGAGCTGCCGTGCCCGGTCAGTCGTCTAGCCCGAACTCATCGAACTCTGTTGGCCGGCATCGTCCCTGGCTGTTTTAAGTTTCTTGAGTTTCTTGTTCCATAACCGTTGAGACCCAGACCGGCCCAAAGCGAGTGACTAGTCACGACACTTGCAAGGCCTGGTGATCAACCCGGGTGGTTCCGCGGATTACTTGAGCACCGGAGGAAACCTGATCCTCATGCGCTGCTCTGCTGGCAGTGAGACGATCAGTGGTCATAGGCCTTGTACTGGATTCGTACATATCAGAGCGAGAGACAAGATGGAACAGGCGAGTGATTGAGTGCGCGAGTCGGTGAAGCGTTAATTGAGGGGGTAAGTGGGGAGACAGGGAGCCGGAGAGCGAGGAGAGGGAGTCAGCGCGCAAGCGACTTTTGAGCACCCGCATGTGTGTGTGTGTGTGTGTGTGTGTGTGTGTGTGTGTGTGTGTGTGTGGGTGGGTGCGTGTGTGTGTGTGTGTGTGTGTGTGTGTGTGTGTGTGCGTGTGTGTGGGTGCGTGTGTGTGTGTGTGTGTGTGTGTGTGTGTGTGTGTGTGTGTGTGTGTGTGTGTGTGTGTGTGTGTGTGTGTGTGTGTGTGTGTGCGTGCGTGCGTGAGTGCAAGCATTGCTCGCGGGCGCATCTGGCAGTCGCCAGGAAAAGAGGCAGCACCATTAACACTAGCACTTATTAGTGCAGGAGCTGGTTGTGTTGGACAAGCAGGCCGGGCTCACCTAGCACACGTCGAAGTGCCCAACCTAGTAGTAGAGTAGGAAACCTTTAACCTTTTTTGGGTAGTATAGTCCCTATATAATCCCTATATATCATATATCCAAAAAGGGCAGATGCTGAGGGGAGCTGCTAGCTTGACGCAACTGACAAGAGGCCCACTCCCCACAAGAACCAACCCTGCCGCCTGCGTGATTCCTGCAGAAAGCCCTGCATTCGAGGCTCTTCTGTGTCAACGACCAGCTTCTCCGGCGATGGGGACGATCGAGGCAGAGGCCTGCAGAGCAGGGATTCAGTAGGGTCAGACCTGACATCGCGTGCCACTCAAGGGTTTCCCAAAAACAACTAGAGATCAGAACGCGCTGCACCGTCTTTTGCCAGCTATTTCCTGCAGAGGCCGGTGTTGTGCCGCAAAGTCCTACTACGTGCCGCAAAGCACCCTCAGGTGGGGGTCACTGCAGCGTCTCCTTGCAGAGCTGTTTAGGAAACCGTATGGAAGCCTAAGTACCAACATGCATGTTATGGTATGGTCATACAGGGACATGTGACTGGGTGCACGGGCAGGGGACACTTGTCACATCTTCAGAATTCCACGAGCAAGTCGCCAGACCATGCTGCTCCATACGTCTACGAAAGGTTGGAAAGTGCAGCCTCGAAAGTCTAGACATGCATTGCATGTCTATGTCGTGGGGTCCTCATGAATGACGACAAGCAGTTTAGCAGTTCTTTGCTCTTGAGACTCTAGACTCGTTTCAGACCCGGCACTGCCGGCATGACTGCACAGTCGCATGCACTGATCTCGAAAACCTTCAACTTTGGGGATTCTTGTGATTCCTCCACAACGGCCTGTAGACTGCGAGCAGTTGTCTTGGTCTAGCCGGCACATGTGCTTGTTCTTTCGCATGCAGTACCACGCTGTTAATATGTGTTTACCTCCATGCCACTACCCAGAGGCCCCATAGTAGTTCCTTTTTGGGGATTACCTTATAGGATTCTATATATGAACCCCCAAAAGGAACTACTTTGGGGCCTCTGGGTACCTCCATAGCGCGGCTGATGCACTAATTATCTGAAGGATGCGATCCTTCGGCCTTGGTCCCTCAGCATCATAGGGGGCCTAATGGGGCCTAAGTAGTTCCCAAATATGATTACTTTTTTTTGTTGGGGGGGGGTCCTGATTATAAGTATAGTATAATGGCCCCAAAGCCCTGTTCTAAGTATTAAGGCCCCTCTAGCAGCCCTTTCATTTCCGAATGCTGGCTCTTCGACCCAGACGCGGCTTCGTGAAGCTGGAGTCTCGCTACTCCTCCGATGCCCCAGGCGTGCTCGCAGCATGGTGGGGCCCAAGGGTTAACTAGGTGGCTCTTTGGGAAACACTTTCTAATCCCCCTTATGGTTCCTATAGAGGTAATTATTATAAATACTTTTCAGAGCCCCAAAACTACAACCCAGTTAAGCAGGTGTCCTTTCGAGGGTTTGGGCTTTAGGCTTCCATGGTCAGCCAGACGTCCGAGATGTCTGCACAGCATCAGATCGCCTTGGCCATCGGTTTTTCGTATCCTTACCTTTGGTTAGTAGGGAATGGAAGAATGGTAGTAATGGTAGTTATAATTGTACCCCATTCCTCCATTCCCTACTAACCCAAGGTAAGTATCGAGGTGTTGTAATCCGCGGTTGCGATGATGAAGCATTCGGTCACTGAAAGACACAAGCATGTCTGGGTTGAAACCAGACATCCATGCAAACGGCGTTAAACCTACTGCAGTAGGTCCAAGGGTAAAAGGAGGGACCCTGAATAAGGACCCCTAGGCCCCTAGGTAGATACCCTTAATATAGCTATTATATACCCATTATATAGCCCATTCTAGGGTAGAGCCTGCAGAGAGTTCACAAGCAATTGTTTCCTCAATGCAACTGAGATTTCTGAGAAACGGCGGAGGTGATCTTCCGCCCAGTATCATACTGGGTGCTCTGCGACGATTTGATGCGGAGTTCCGCCCAGGGCGGAACGAGGCGGTCCACGCTTTGGGGCAAAACGGTTTGGATTTGTTTCGGAACTTGGCTTCTCATGTTTCCTGCTGCGAGTCCCTAATACATTCTGATTGATCACGGTCGCAATCCTCATTTGTATGGCGATTACTTCATAGCAGATCGAGACAAAGCCCTCCTTTTGTCCGGCCGAATGCAATGCCTTAGAGCCCTAAAGCCCTAAACCCTATAACTCCTGGAGCCCTAAACCCGGAACCTCGCTTTCTTGGATCATGGCGAGACGGAAAAGGGTCGTGCAAACAAAAACCCTAAGTTGGAAAAGAGGCGCTTTAAACAACAAAAGGGTGGTTGTCAAAATTATGGTCCCTTGTTGTGTCCCTAATATAATACGCCACCCATTATTTAGGGTATATACCCAAAAAGGGACCCTAATTTTGACAACTACCCAAAAAAGAAACCCTGAACATTCCCCTGGATCTTCTGAGATTGACCGCTTGAATCTCATCGAACAGCTCGCGGCTTGCCTGCACAAAACACCGCTTCACGAAGAGCCCTTCACTAGGCATCGATGGCAGATGAGGTAAGTTGTCCCTTATTGGTGAATGATTTTCAGTAGGCGTCGATTTCAGGTAATTTTGAGTTTCCTGTATAGGTTAGTACTAGGCCTGGTGTCTCAGATACTGTTAAATTCCCCTTTTTTCATATAGAGCCCTAACTATCAATGATTCTTGGGGCTGTTGAAATCGACACCTAGTCATGGTCTTAATCCGAAGCAGCAGCTGGCAGCGAAGTCGGGGAAGTGTCAGCAAGGCGCCGCTGCGGCAGTGGCACTGAAATGTGAATGCAACAGCTAAGGCCCACTCCGAACGAGATATCGGCAAAGTCAGGTGGAACTGCAAAGAGCTTTTACAGGCACTCTTGTCTGTTGCATGGGAGGGCTTTCAACTTTTCAGACAGAATGGTTGCAGATCTCCGAGCTTTGGCAAAAGCGAGAAGATGATTGGCAGCAGGACCAGCAAATGCCGTGCTGCGAGCGGTCAATGACTCCAAACATTCAGTTCACCTAAGGGGCGCAGACCCAGAGCGTCAGGGAAAGTGTTGCCATGTTGCAATGGGTGACAATGCCATGCCGTCGCAAATCGCTGCAGTGTTGTGTTTTTGTTTGGCTGTTCTGCAAGTTCTTGCGTTTGGGCTGCCAGGCCTTCTTCGTGAAAATGAACTTCTTCGAGCGTCTATACTTTACGGTGGACGTCGGGGGCACCTCCAGCTTATTGTCCAGAGTCGCCCGGAAGTGTTTTGAGTTTCTGGGGCTGGCTTCAGGGTTGAGTTTGAGGTTTCCGGGGCTGCTTCGGCAATGACTTGGTCCAAAGTCGCTGTTTGTGTATACCTCCTTCCTACAGCGCGCGAAGCTTCTACGTTCCCCATCCAAAGTTCCCGTTGCACAGTGGTATGAGATGCATACAACCCTTCTCGAGAATGCTCGAAGTGGAAGAGAATCTCCGAGGCTGTGAGTGCCATCATGGTTGCAGCCATTGTAATTAGCATTGCGATCTGGATGGCCGGAACCATGGTTTCGTTCTCAGTAGATGCTCGGATGCATTAACATGTCAATGTGCAATGAGGGTGGTTCCGTCGCCTGTTGCCATGGTGTGTGCGCGAGATCTACAAGCTGAAATAGATTCGCACACAGGGCCGGGTGAGTTTGCTCAAGTGCCCTGGTTCAATGTTTGGCTCGTCACCATGACGACAACAGCTTTCCGGTGTAGTTGCACCGGCTCCACACGTACATTGACAGTTGTTAACGTAAGCTACAACTAGAAATAACTACAATGTATAGTAGTGTAGTAGTATTGTTGTATTTTGTTATGCATGAGGCTTTTGCTGGTTTGTTTTTGGTGCTTGGGGGGGCTGAACTGTCCTGGGCATATGCTACTGTATGGTCCTTTTGGTTGGCCGATAGGACTTCCCATCTCGATGAGCCTAGATAGTTCGTTCTGGTCACGCGATTCGAGCCTTGTTGCCACCAACAATCCTTTGGAAACTGCTTAAAGATGTTTACAAGCGTTTACTTCTCGTCGCATGACCAGGTACGGTCATACATTTCACAGGAGCAACATTGAGCACCCGTTTGGGGTTGGGAATATAAGTCTGAGCAACTCGAGACTTCCTGGAGGGTCTTCTTGCTTAGCCTCAGGGCCTTATAAGGCCTAAGGGTCTCATATATTCATATTCCCTATACCCTAAACCCTAAACCGTCTCATATTCATATTCCCCATAAACGCGCGCGGAGACCCCTCCAGAAGCCCCAAAACGCCCCACGAGGTCCCTTGCGTAGACTGCGAGCCCGAACCGCTGCCCTGGATGCAAGCGGCCGGCGGCTCAAGGGGTGCCGGGGAAGCCCTATAGGGATCCTATAGGGTTAAGGGTGTGGGGATTTTGGGGTCTATAGGGGCTTATAGTGTTTAGGGCTAAGAGCTTAGGGTTGAGGGTGTCGACACTTTAAACAAAAACACAAAAGGGCCAAGAGCTTAGGGTTGAGGGTGTCGACACCTAAACCCATGAACTGAGAGGTTGGGAGAATGGCTGGAAGCCTTTGGGGTCTACGTGGTGTTCAGGGATTTGTGGCCAAGGCCCGGGGAGCCCGCCTGGTCTAGCCATGAATATAATAACAACGGAATCGCACAGAAATGCATGCAGGCTGCTTTCGCAATGGTCCCGTCAGCGAGACTTAAGTGACAATGCAAAACAGCCCAGTTTGACTCGGTTCTGGCAAGATTCGAGAGAACCGTCAACCCTAGCCTCAAATATCGTTTTATCGCATATCTACAAATGTCCATGTCTCTCTGCCCTCATGAGTGTATAACCGACCTTCGTCACTGCGAGGTCGACGAGACCTGCGTTGTCATTTTTACCATCGAGTTCCTGACAAGGTCGAGGGCTTTTGGTGCACTGATGTCTGCAGTGGTCGAAGTGCTTGCACTGGCAGCGGCACCAGTTTTACCATCATGATTGCTGTTTATGGAGTTGTGGTGGTGGTGGTGGTGGTGGTGTAAAAGTACATAGTAGTGGTAGTAGTAGTCGTCGTCGTATTCGTAGTAGTAGTCGTCGTCGCCGTCGCAGTGGCAGTGGTAGTGGTCGCAGAAGTAGCAAGTCGTAGCAAAAGCAGAAGGGTTGACAGCAGCAGCAGCATGTCAATGTCGGGTTTCTCCACCAGCACCTGGGCTGTGTAAATTAAAGGCATTGACTGTCAAACAAGCAGTTTTCTCCTTCTGAATGATGGACGTAGAGAGCTGTTCGGTGCCTTCTGCATCTCTTCGAGTTCCCCAGCGAACTCCTTGCTGTGAGGATGCTCACTGCCCCGTTCGCACGGACAAAGCTGCTGAATCGTCGCTTCCTGCTCGACCCACAGCTTCTATTTACAATGTTAGCACGCCATATGCAACATCAAATTCAACCGATGCTAAGGCATCAAGTAGACATCAGTGTTTCAATGCGATAAGCATGAGAGCTATACACCCTTGGTGCAAGTGCAGGGTTGTTTTTGCGATGCGCTTGGTGTTCACAGCAGTCATGAGTCCGTTGCGCCACACACTGCGAAGCAACTGCGCCGAACGCATTAATTTAGAATAGGGTTTTGGGGGGCGTAGTATACGAAGATTGAATTATAAGGGCCCTCCCCACAAAAAATGGCATTGGTACTTATTTCGGCCGCTGTAGTAATGTCCGACTTGGTTCCATGAGCCGATTCGCCGAAGCCCTAGACTACCTTGGCAGCCTCTCAGGCGCTATAGCATCGGAGCCCAAGCAAGCGGGTGAGGGCTTCGATAAGTTGCATTGGGCTACAACTCTATTCAGGATTTTGAGGGGATATTCTTACCTCAGTCCGACACCGTGCTTACTCTCTAGGCCCTAGGCCGTTGAAGCAAGGAAACGGTCTTTACCGTCGGCGCGAAGACGGAGGATGCTTCGGAACTCTCTCAGGCGGATTTGGGCCGATCCTCGACCGCAGAGATCCGAATAGCTCCGAGCCATGTGTGTGATGGGTGTTGTTGAAATTTCGATGATTTTAAATCAGGGTTCCATGCGAGAGTGCGAGCTTTCAGTAGTAAATTAGTTGAAGGACGACTCGTATGTTCTATTTGGCCGAATGAGCACAAGCAGCCCAGTCCTTCCGGCACTAGAGCATTCGTTTTCAGCAGCCGTTGTGCGAAGTATCTGGCGTCCGCATCTCCAGCGAAAATCAACAGCCATTCATCGACAGTATTACGGCTTGGGGATTTTGATACTTTGGGCTCGAGACCAGGCATCCAGTGGTCCAAGTTCGTGTCGAACTGGTGGAGCTTCTGGAAACAGCCGGCTGCCATCGTGGATCTTTTCACAGTTCTGCCCTATTGGATTGAAGTGGCCTGGCTACACATAGATGCTCACCCGTCCAGTTCTCCCCGCAGAAAAGAAGTATATAGGACATTGGTTTCTTGAATGGTCAGTCTCGCATTGCGATCTCCACGAGTGGCCCGATCAGCAATATGTGTTTTCATACTTCGGTGTGGGCAACGGCGACGACCAGATGACATGACGACGCTCAGACAGCTATGACCACGAGAGAAACATATTTACATACATGTGTATGTGGGTGTGTATGTGTATACATCTATATTTAGATACATGTCTACATATATATATATATGTACACATATCTACCTGCATTGTTATATATTACGCTATAAATGCAAGTACAAAACAAACATGTAGATATCCGCCCGCGCCTGTGCGTATGTCTGTATGTATGTATGCATGTAGAAGACTGCAGACTCGCCAGCCAGCCCACTCGAGAGTTTCACGAAGCCTCAACAGAACCCAATGCCCGAATTGCAGGTTTGGTTCGCCACCAGCTCGGACAGTAACTTTATCTGGCTGCGTCTGTTCAGGCTACTTCGAGTGAGCAGGACAGGTTGCATCTGATGCGTGAGGTTGCACTGTAAGTTTTAGTGTTGGAAGTTTATAGGGTTGGCATAATCCCGTCTCATTGGATAGCTACGCCATCTTATTGAGTCTGTTTCCTCTCAGAATGCAGTCGAGTTTTGCCGACACTTCAAGCGTAGCGCAAAGCCACACCGAAAACTCCAATGGCACTCTTACGAGCATCAGCGCGTGTTGAGACTTGGGACGAGGGAGGCTATGTGATATCTGGAGCCTCACGGGCATGTCTAGAAGCATCGTTGTTTGTTTAGTCAATGCCTACCAGGGTCTACCAATGCTTACTTCACAAACAAATAAGAAAGTTGACTCCCTATCCAAAGCTAGATGTTTTTGACTTTGCTTGTTTTAACTTGAGTGCCTTCGAAGTCAATGTGCAAAGTAAAATCTTTAACTTCATAGGAAACTTTCGGTTTGACGCTGTGGGCAAAATGTGCCGCCAAAGCTAAAATGAGCAGGCCGAAGCCAAAATGCCTGAAAGGAGGTTTGAAGGAACTCTAATCGAAACTGCTGCTTGTGTCGGTGTCAGTTTTGTAGTAGTTTGTTTTTGGCAAGCTTGAAACTTCAACCTTCGCAAACTTCCTTCAACGCGCCTCCAAAGTTTGCCACAGAACACAGCCCTCCGCGATTTAGCCCGAAAACGACAACCCAAAACAGAGAGGAAGTTTGCCAAAACGAGCGAGGAAGTTTGTGTGGAAGTTTTCTTTTCGGCCCAGGCAGTTCAGGGCAGTTTGGAGGAAGTTTCCTCTCTTTCGTTTTGACTTCGTGGTGAACTTCTGCCCATGCCCATGTAACATGTCCGCATTTTGCAAGCATATGCTGTGGCTTGTTATGTTGGCACGCGGTCCCAACCAGAATGCAAGGTACCCTATCTACCGAGCTACCCAGGAGGGAAGAGATAGGCCGCAAAAGGCTGATACAAAGAAGGGTTCGAAGAAGAGATCTCTCGCAATATAATTAGTTAGTAGAGAGCACTAGAAACTAGAAGTGGCAGGATTAGGAGAGGAGGGAGCAAGTACAACAGAGTGAAGCAGCAAATGCGAAGATCAAAGCAAGCTCAAGAAGACCCATGCAACAAACCTCACAACCCACCACCGTCGACCACGGCAGCGGAGACAGCAACAGCTGCAACAAAAATGGTTTTGATGGCGCCTGGGCCGCTGAAGATACCAGCGGTACGTTGCAAACTTCAAGCTATGAAGACATAAATGACACATTACCCCGACCCTTTCCCCGGTGTTCAATGTCCAAGTGTACAAGTCAAGTGGCCTTGACGCGTGTGGAGAGGATCTTCAAGTTGGTGCAGATACTGAATTCAGATCTTGGCCAGCTCAGTGATGCGCAGCACCTCTTGGCGAACCTGGGCGTTCGTCTTGTCTTTTGGTGTCTCTTGTTTCTGACGGGCTCTATACATGTAAGGTTTCCGTCCGAAGCGGTCCGAAACAGAAGGCTTGTGACAGAGTGTTTTCTGTTGTCAACATTGCATCCGGTGTTGTCGGGAGGCCGATTAGCCCTGAGAGCCTGAAAGCCACAGCATTGTAATGGCCCCAAACTTCAAAAGAACCGCGGGCTTCATGATCAGCAGCACGGCAGTTCCGCTTTTTCGATCTTCGCAACCGTAGTTAAGACGACATGGGATATGGGCTCATCCGGGATCAGGTTCAAGAGCTTTGGGCATAGGATTTCCGATAATATGATATCATTCAGACAGCTGTCACACATGTGCTGCCTGCACGGAGTTAGGTGAGGTCTCCGGCATGGCAAGACCGAGGAACGTCTTCGTTCAGGCCTTCCCAGCGTTTATCCTCACAACGGCGTTGCTGGCTCCTTGACCTGGTGGCAGTTCATAGATGCCGGGGGAAGCGGAGGGGGGGGAACTGAATTATTGCTTGTGTCGAGATATACAATGCGGAATGGCTCCATCGAGCCTGGGTTATGAACCTATACGACACACACACGCGCCGTGACCGCCGTTAACCAACAGAATCTTACGGTCACCACCAGTGCTGCCAGAATCACGATCTGTGCCATGCCTTTGCATTCACCCCAGATCTGACCTTGAACTTTCCTAGTCCTGTACCCATAGCCCCCATAGTACTTGTAGCTCCTTTTTGGGATTCCGGTATAGGATTCTCAATATTACGAACCCCAAAACGGAACTACTATGGGGCCTATGGGTAAAGCAGTCGGAGTTTCCGCTGTGCTGAGGTCTTCGCACTGATTGTTTTCAGCGCCCTGATGTACACCGTGGAGCGGGGCGACTGGTACCCTGAGTCTGTAGTGATGCGGCCGCTTGCCCGATGACAAGACCTGTGTGGAAGCCTGGTTTCGGGGCAGCCGAGCGTTGAGCTCAGGGAGATTTACCGGCAGGGAAGAAGCGTCTTCTGAGTCTTTCCCAGACAGTTCGTACAGCTTGAATGTATAGAGGCCTTGGGGCTCAAACTCCTGCTGCGGGGTCCTGTATGCCTGAACCTTTGACTTGTCCGCGCAGCGGAATGCTGCGAAAACCCAAGCCGCCGCAAAGCACAACAGCACACCAAGCCCCAGTTAGTGAGAGCCCCTACAATCGAGACATTCATCTCATCCCCGAATCTTAGCTGATAAGCTCAACTGAACTTTTCAACCATCAGCATCCAAAAACCCAAAGCACGGAACTGTTCCACTATCCCCCTTTTGTAGCTCCCTGTAATCTGAAGCCCAGCCTCCAAAATCCGATAGAGCTCAAAATCCCAAGCACTCTAAACCCGAAAGTCCTCAAGCCTCAACACCGAAAGCCCTATGTAACCTCCCAAAGCCCAAAGCCCTAAACCCAAAACCCCCTTTGGCTCCGATTCCTTAGCGCTCAGTTTTTTTACTCTTCAAGTCGGTCATGGAGGGCGCGGTCGCAGTCGCAGATCAGGGAGCTGCCAAGAAACCGTGCCGGAACTTCACCGACTGCGGTCGCATGATATCTGCCCGCAGCAGAACCGGTCTCTGTTGGCCATCCGGCATGAGTCGACGTGACAGTGAGAAGTGGCGCCGCGCTGAGGAGAAACGCGCGGCTCTCAAGCTGGGCCAGCACGCCCGGTACTATATCGCCTTCGTCACAGTTGGTGATGTCATTTCCACGACGCGGTGCGTGTCAGAGGGCACTTTTCGGAGGTTGATGGACAAAGCGAAGCAAAGTGAGGACCGACTGGAAGAAGTGCGCAAAAAGATGGAACAGGAGAAGAGCGAAGCTGAGGCCGCGGAGAAGCGCGCAGCTCAGGCCGCTGTCGAGGAGCCCAATGGCGATGATCAGGTTGGCGACAAGCAGGGCGAGCACAACGGCGATGCGCAGGACACGTTGCCTGCGAGGCCGAAGCGCAAGGTGAAGAAGCCCGAGATCCCGAAGGGCAAGGATCGAAAGCTCTCGGATCCCACTGACAAGCAGATTGAGGATGCGCTGTCGGCCCCCTCGGCGGATGAAGAGTACCTGCGGAAGGTTTCCACATCGTCCGGCGCAAGGGCTGAGCATGTTCCACCGCTGGTCGCGCCCTGTCCGGCAGCAGTGGAGGAGAAGATCGAGGCGCGCCCAGAGGAGAAGCAGAAGCCGTCGCGTCAGGCTGGGCGATTGAAGCGTCTCGGCGAGCGCGGCGGAAGAGGCGATGCGAAGAGAGCGCGCTCGTGATAAGCGCGGGAGGGGGGGGCTGACCTAAGTGTTGGCCCCCCTCCCCGGGGGTTCGGGTATTGTTGGTGTTCTTTGTTTGTGATTACCGTTGCTGCTTCTTCTTCGGTTTCAAGCTCGGTTTGGTTTCTAATACTCGAACCCCGTAGCTTCTCGTAGAGGCGGAGACAAGCGACCGTATACATGAGTAAACTTGTGTAAAATATTTTCTTCTGTGGCACACGCGTATTTGTTGGTGTTTGTTACTACTCATGTATACCGTCTCTGGCGGGGCGGCCGGTTGCATTCGAGGGGTGAGGTTAAACAAAAAAATGTTGGACCATTGGGATGACATGGATAGGGGGCGCGCTCGTGCCCGTGCGTGGGACGACTGGGCCCTTCATGACGAAATGACCGAGGGTAGTGGCAATGTGAAACGGAGGCGGCTCGTGATCAACACTTATGACAGCGACCTCCACGGCAGCCCGCCAGCCTCCTCGCATGAGATCCCACTCCTCCACAGTGACCGGGTGACGATTCAGCTCTTCCTGAACGCGGGACCACATGTCAGCAGTGAGGCCTCAACCGACATCCTCGCTGTCAACGAGGGCAATGCACAGGGGGATGTGGGATTATGGCCGTCGGGTGTCCTGCGAGAACCACAAGAACAGGCGACCCAGACTGTGGAAACACCTCCTTCACGGGACATGGCGGGGGTCAACGAGTATGGAGGTGAATGTGTGAAGGAACCCACCAAGGATGCACCGGATGATGAACCAGGTATGTGGAAGAACGAGGGGGATGAATGAGTGTCGAGTCGAGGTCAAGAGTCGGAAAACAGCCTTTATTTTCAGACGCCCAGCGGAAGATCCGCTTCTCGGATTCTGCGAAGACGAAAAAGGGCCGTGTAAAAAAAGAAACAAAAACCCCCAAAACCCGAAACCCCTAAAGCCCCCAAACCCTAACCCTAGAGATCCCTTAAAGGAACCCTAGGTATTCCTTTCTTGGGGAAACCCGACACCCAGAACCCCAAAATCCCGAAACCCCTGAAGCCCCCAAACTGACCATACTGCCTTAGTTAGGGAACCCGACACCCAGACAGGATGGAGACGACTCTCACAGCTTTAGCCGGCAGCCAGGGAGCTGCAGAGGCGATCCTGCACGAAGCCAGGACAGCTGAGAGGGGTTTGAAAGGGGTCTAAGGGTTACTATACAAGGTACTTTAAGGGCTTTGGGGGGTAGGGCAGCTGAGAGGGGTTTGAAAGGGGTCTATAAGGGTTACTACGGTTGATGACAGAAATCCTGCATTACCGAGAATAAGGACTATACCATAATTCCCATAGCTTCCGGTCCTTAAGGTCGTGCAGGATTTTTATTATCAACAGTACAAAGGGTACTACAAGGGTACTATCAGGGTTTTGGGGAGTCGGACATCCGAGCAGGGTTTGGGCTGCAAGAGCTATTTCAGGACATTTTGGGTCTGTTATATGTTGGTTTAGGATGTTTTAAGGTTGTTATGTATGGTTACTAAATGTCGGTTTGGGCTCAGGGTTTAGGGTTTCAGTTGGGCTACAATAATATGTGAGTTGTGGGCTTTGGGTTTAGTTCAGGAACGAAGAGCTATTCAAGGGTTGCTGGCTTGTTATAGGGTTCCTATACATGGGTTATGATGGGGTTATTTGGAGGTTTTATTATGGAGCCGTTTGTTTGATTCCTACAAGAGTCTTAATTACAGAATTCTATCGGCATTCTATTGGTTGACAAGGGATGTTTTTTCGAATTATGCAAGGATTCTAGACTTGTCCTTCTGTTTTGAAGGGGCGGGTGGGTTTGAAGGCTTCAAGTTTTTGCGCTTTTGAATGCTCAGGGTTTACGGTTTATTTTACGGGCTTGCGGCTTCGCGTTGGGGGTTATGGTCTCGGGATGAACAGGATTATATATGTTGTAGGACTCCCGTGCCAGCAGTTGGGATTCTGGTTCCAGTTCGGGGCTTTCGGTGAAGAATCAGGGACTTGCGTGTCGTGCTGAGCAGAGATCAAACTGATCAAACCATAAGCGCCCCGAGCGACTAGCAAGGCCTACAGTACTTGATGTCCAGGATTCCACATGCGGTAGAGCGACAGGTTGCAGTCCTTGGGCACAGCTGCTACGCGGTAACGACTTCTCCTTCATGACAGTGACATGAATTACATCAATGCAAAACCGGTGCCACAGAGCGTGAAGTCTTATTTTCCACAGAACAATCAGAACCCACAACATCGAGTACCGGAAGCACCTGTCTTTTCATTTCCATGTGCTATATATACAGAGATATAGGTAGATAGATAGACAGATATGAACAAATTGAAAGAAGCCACCAACATGAAGCCATACATGCACACACACACACATATATGTTTGTTTGTTTGTATGTATGTATGAATGTATGTACGTGCCCACACTTTTCCAGGACGTCTGGTGGGGTGTTTATCCGGACGCAAGGAGATGGGCCGTTCGACTTCACTTCCGGATAAGCACCGGGTTTCTGGTGCCGGGAAAGGGCTCAATGCCCATAACACTGGCTGTATATCCCGCATGCAACAACTTGAACAAGTTTCGCGGACAAGTGGAACCGTCAGACTAGAAAGTGGTTCGAAACTGCTTATCCTTGATGAGGGCATCGAGTGCAGTCCTTCGGGTTGAAGTGTGGTGATTGTTGCAAAGCCATAATAAGCAAAAACCAGTCTGGAAATCGTCTGGAAGGCTCGAATCTACAGGCGTTTTGACTTTATCCCTAAACCCTATAAGCCCCAGCAGATCCTGGACCGGCTTGAATCTACGAGACTTTGGATTCACCCTGCCTAGCGGACCTGATCAAGCCATGCAAGAGGCAAAGACATCCTAAAGCGTACTTCTTTTGTCAGCACTGTTGGCTGGGGGTGCGAATGACCGCTTTTTCGGTGTTATTGCGTTTAGGAGTTCCTGAGGGGTTGTAGGGAGCTGACTTTGGAGTTTCTTCAGCGAGGGGTAGCTTGCTGCTGCGATTGTCGAACTCCTCAGCAAGACTCATCCCATCGTTGCTCGTTTTTGGCTCTTTCCAATGTATCTCCAGAGTTCTCAGAGTGCCCATATAGTAGGCAGTTAGGCCTTCAAGGAGGGTCCCCAAAAAGTACTTTCAGGCCTAAGTACCTACAAGATGGTCGCTGAGAGACTCTGAGGCCACCAACCCTCCAGCTGCCGCCCAGGTTTGTCGACATGAGCCCCTTCACGAGCATTTTATCTGCCTTCTGGTGGTGCCTTGGACAAGAACGTCTTTCTGTCTTCAGGGTGTTTCCTACTTCAGCCCGTGCTCGCAGGCAAAAAGCCTGAGTTTGTTTCCCCTTTTGATGCAAGTCATGGTCGGCCTGTCCTGGATGCATTGCGTCAGTTTTCAAGCTACATTCTCATCTGCAGAAATGGGACTTTCCAGGGGTACCTTATTTTGGGGCCCTTATAATCAGGATCTTACCTTCAAGAGTACTATATTAGGGTCCCCTATCTTCTGAAACTCCCATATGTGTTCGCTTAAACCTTTCTCTTCGTCATTCTCCTGAGCTCCTTGGTGCTGAGGACCCTGGCGACCATCACCACAGTCGGCTACGGTGACAACACCCCCATAACAATAGGCAGGCCCCACTGCCTAACATGTTGATGTTGCATTCTTGGGCAGCTTGTCACTCCTCTTGGGTTGAGGATGCCTGCAGTCCTCAAACATGTGAGCCTTCAGGAATCCAAGGCAGCGGAGATTGCTTTAGCACGTTGTAGCACTGATCGAAGCTCGTCACCAAACAAGTGAGTCTCAAAGCGATCAACAAGTCTCGAACGGTTCATTCTCACATCACCACAGGTGTGCGCCACATCTTGCTGCACTCTCTCGAGACATGGTTCGTCAGCACAAACTTGCCTGTTGTTCTATAGTATACTCCTCCACAATGCACCTTCATCATCTTGAACCGCCATTGCGATGTCTCTAGAGCTGGAAAGACCGGAGATCTCAAAGATGGAATAAAATAGGCCCACGTCCTGCACCAGGCATTAAGTTAGGTTAAGTTCCTCTCTGCTGGTAGAGCCGAGGCAGCTATACCGTTGGAGATGCGGTTGCGGGTTTAGGGGTCTGGAACGCAGCGTGTGTGTGGGCTTTGTCGCTGGTTACCTGGTCATCTCCAGCACGTATTCCTCGTAACTTTTTGTATTTACTTCGGTTTGTTACATTCAACCTATGCATGGGCCGAGAAACCTGTAGCGCTTCATATTAGAAAGATGGGGGATTTGTCAGTTGTCTAATGGACCATCAGAAACATGCAGTTGATGTTGCACGAAAGGCTCAGCTCAAGATACTGTATAGACTGTAAAACAGGGTTGCATCAACACAAAGCTCCAAGCTCACGACTCACGTAGCACGAACTGCAGGGGGCAAGGTGGTTGGATCGTTTGCCATCCTCTATGGCACGATCTTGCTGGGCCTTCCCATTGGTGCCACATCGGAGATTCCTGTCAAGGGTTTGAAAGCCACGTTTTGGCTTGCTGTGAAGGCCATAGGCTCGAAGCAAGGTTGGTTCCATATGTGTCCAAGTTCAGACACCAGTGTGCAACTTCAGAGCAGCGGACGCCAGTACAACAGCGAGGAACACCAGTACTAGTAACTAGTATACTGTTACTACTGCCATTGCTGCTGCTGTTGCTGCTGGTACTACTACTGCTGCTACTGCTCTTACGGCTGCTCATGCTCCTACCATTACTTCTACTACGCCAAATGTGCTCCACCTACTAGCACTACTACTACTCCTGCTGCTGCTTTTTCTTCTGCGACGACGACGACTACTACTACTGCTGCTACTACGACGACGACTACGACGACGACTACGACGACGACTACGACTACGACTACGACTACTACTACTACTACTGCTGCTACTGCCACTGCTACTGCAACTACTTCTTCTTCTACTACTACTACTACTACTACTACTACTACTACTACTACTACTACTACTACTACTACTCTTCAAGAGCGACTACCAAGCGAGCAACAGGGCATCCACAGTAACCATAGTAATTAACAACAACATGATCTACGAGAGAACAATTGCCCCACAGACGCACAAGCTCAGGCATCATCGGTTCGCAGTTCAGCACGGAGTTCGCGCGCATGGTGGCCACAAATCGGATCAATCGATCCCGGCATGACCCGGATGATGTTGCGAAGGGCACTGTTTTGATACTGCAGATAGTCCTCCACAGTCGTTTTTGTCTTGGGTTCCAGGCTTGAATAGCCTTGGCCGTGAAGCGCTTTTCAAGCAAATAAATTGGGATGGATGCAAGCTGGAGCCTCGAATCAACCAAAGTCTTTTGCAGAGTAGTTCGCCCCATGCCCTTGTCAACTGCTCCAAGCAGGAGCGAAATCACCAGAGGAAGGACGAGGTCCGCCCACCAGAGCCGCATTCTGCAAGCTTGAAGTAGAACGACTTAGTATGGCACCATAAGTGCAGCAAAGAGCTTTGACTGAAGCTGCACTCAAAGACTCAAAGCCCCTGGTAATGCCGCAATGTCCTTCGACCACCCCGGCTCACTTTTTTTTTGAGCAACGCCACATCACAAGACACCAACGAACTCCTGCCCCGGAGGCTGAACAGAGCCGCGGAAGAAGTGGGCTGATGAGCATGGATGCAGGCACCAGATCTTGCGTGATGCTTCTGGCCATGCATAAAAAATCATCCGGCCTCCCATACTTCCGAATACCACGTGCCTCTCACAGTGCGGCTCTCTAGAAGCCTAGAGCATGACTGGTACCTATGAAATCGATCTTCAGCCAGTCTCTCAACATTCCGGTTGAATTGTGTAAGAGGCTTTCGTTGGGTTGGGTGGGGTATTGCGACCTCCTGGTGACTAGATGCACTAGCTCACCTATGGTGGCGCGTTGATTGGAGATTGTCAGAACTCGAGTTCGCATGTCGGGACATCTTACAACAGCCGCGACATCTCAACAGTTGTGGCTGCAGTGTCGTTAGCATGCCATGCTGCCGCTCTGGCAAAGAGCTGCTACATACAGTAGTTACCACCCAGAGGCCCCATAGTAGCTCCTTTTTGGGGTTCATATATAGAATCCTATAAGGTAATCCCAAAAAGGAGCTACTTTGGGGCCTCTCTGGGTAAGTCATATGGCTAAGCTTCTCACGTCTGACACGGCTGCCCGAGCAGAGTCTGAAAGCTGAGCGTGCAGGAGGTGTCGAGTCTGCGCAGACGAGTCCCACAACGTCTCCGTCCAAACTGAAGAAGAAGATGTCGCACCGTGTTGTGGACACCTTCAGGACGCCTTTCTGCATGAGCTTTGCAGTTTTGGATGCTGCGTATCCACAATGGCACCCCCTATGCGCGCTACCGGGTATGCGGCGAAGGTAGCCTTCCGAGGTGTAATTATTTCACGGGCCAAGTGCTTGAGATGATTTAGCGATGTAGAATGTGATTTTGCAGAAACCGCTGAGGTTTAAGACCGGATAGAGGCGCGAACACGACCCAGACAAGGGTGTCTGAAATCCATCGCCCGAGATCCAGGAGAGTGGTCCGAACCAGCGGCAACCGTGCTCCCAGGGCTGGCGAGCAGATTCTGGGCTCAAGGATTCAGGGCTTCGGCTCGAAACACCGTGTTTTAGCCATGGTTCGGAGCAGTCGTCTTCGTAGTTGAAACCTTGATCCAGAAAGAGCATGAAAGAACCCTAACCCTAACCACTGGCCCGAAGCATCCCGAAGCGATGCACATCTTTGCCATGGTCATATCCCGTAAACCTTCTGCTGCCTGTTTAATGATTTCAATGCATTCCACATCATCTGCAGCCAAGCGGTTCAGAGTTTAGGGTTTAGGGTTTCGGGTTTAGGGTTTAGGGAATCATGCATGAAGTGGATTGTTGCTTTAATCGGGGCACTGGTCGCCAGCCACATCTTTGTTCGACATGGTGGGGGCCAATGTGCAGCTCAAGCTCAGGGCGTGGAATGTAGGTCCAAAGCTTTTCTGCTTCACCCAATAAGCTGTTATGCACCCCTGGGTCTTGATGCCAGTCAGGGTGGTCTCTGCGGCAGCGAAGCTGCACCGGCTGCCGTTGAGACCGCGGCAGCGCGAGCAGCTAATCTCGGTGCCGCGCCTGCTTTGTTCCAACCAAACTTAGTGATCTTAGTGTCGGCTCATATCTGTTTGCGACTAAAGCGATGACATGCCCCAGACAGGACTGAAACTGATTCTTTGCTTGCTTGCCGGCTGTTTAGGCCAAGTATGCCTTCGAAGACCTCATGAAAATGCATGGCGAAAGCCTTGGCATCGCGCCGGAAACACAGCAGGACAGACTGAGGGTTTTATGTTTAGCTTTTAGGGGTCCTGCAAGGAGGGCGTGAGGGGAACATTGGAGCAGCGGTGCGCTTGGATGTACCTTTTCGCAAGCATAATTTGCCGCATCCATTTTTCAGCCTTCAACGCAAGATCCAAGCATCGCAACGATTCTGTAGCACTCGGGATGACGCCGCTACCTGCAACAGTCGTAATATGTTGTAAAAGTTGTTTCGAACTAAATTAAGTTTTGTGGGAATCGCTCCGATCATTGCTGATGCTGCAAGCGGCAACATCAGCCGATGTACGCTCAAACACACACGAAGAATATGTTGATGATGATGACGATGGTGATGATGTTGCTGGTGTTTGCTCGTGATACTGCCCGTCGCGGTTTGACTTCTCATCATCATAACCGCCATCACTACCATGGCCATCATGCACCATGTCACCATCATCGCATGATTTGCCTACCTCACTTGCGCACCAGCAATGTATAGTATAGTTTCTTGACGTAGCTCCTGCGATCGCCAGGCTTGGCTCGATTGCTTATGGGCCACGCAGCCCCTCGGTGCATCGCTCTGAGAGCTCGGCTTCAAGCAAAATTAGGGGCCTAAACAATTACGTATTCACCAACCTTGAAGGGATCCTACAAGGACACTTTAAGGGTTTAGTATAGGGGCTTAAACATTAATTGCAAATACTATGTTGGGGGGGGTTCCTGATTATGAACAAAGTACAATGGCCCCCAAAACCTTATTCTAATTATTAAGGCCCCTATATATAGTTCGTTTCTGGATGCGAGTGTACGATATAGGTTTGCTTAGCTCGCTACATAATCTAAGATGCCTATATATATATACAGATTTATACTATAATACCAACTGTATAAACATATAATATACGGTACTTAGGGGTGGTGTTCCTGGAGAAGGATGAAGTCACAGACGAAACTTGACGAAACTGAAGCAGGAGTGTTTGCCGCCTGTGTCTTGTTCACAGAACCGCTATGGTAGGGCCCCAAAAAAGCACATAAGCAAAATTAGGGTAGGGATATCCCATATAAATCCCCTTATAATGAAGCCCCCGAGTGCTTATGCTTGCTTCTGGTGATGATGGTGTGGTTTCTCTGCAGTCTGCGAGTCGGAGTGCGCGTAAAGGCTTGTTCCGGTCGGGCCGTCGGTTGCGCACACAGCACTCCTGCGGTATCGTAAGTCTCAGCTCAGGTTCTGTGCGGGCCCTGACCTGGACAGACTGTCTGCAAGGATTTTGACCTTCCTTTCTGAGACTTGATCGCCATTTCATCTTCTGCACGGCGGCGTCGAAATGGTTTCCCAAAGATTCGTCTCGGTGTATCAGCTGAACATGTTTGCATGCAGAGGACGGTTTTCTATGTGCAAAGAAGTGAGAAAGTAGTCCGACTGCCCATTGTGGAGCTCCTGACTCTATCACCCCTTTCCAATATTGTTGAATGTAGCTTAATGCACCCATGCCGGTCTTGGTTCGGTAGCAAAACAGCATTTTATTTGTAAATGAATGCGGTTTCGCTTGCGCTTCACTGTTTTGATTCAATTCAATTTCCCTCTTGTTTCACCTACTTGCCTTGACACTGGATTCTAGCCGGATTCATCCTGTTCATGGCTCGGTCCCGACAGTAAGAAAAAGGATGCACTTGAGGATCCAGGCGGTGCAGATAAGATGAAACTCGGAGCTGGCAGAAACATCGAAGAGCTGCCCCTACCCAAGGATGCCGAGATGCGGCGCGGAGGTGGTTATGCTCAGCTTGTGCCCCGAAGGAAGAGAATTCTAGCGATGGCAGGGTCGGTTGAGAGGAGACAAAACTGGGATCAGCGCTGCTGGCTTGAATTCCATTTTGAATGGTTCTTTGGAGAGATTCGGAAAGTTCGGCACTGCATTCAGCCCTGTTGGTTCTGAATCTTCGGTAAAGCTCTTCTAGACCGACTCTTTTCTCCCCACTTGGACACATACAACACCCCTTGCAAACCCAACTGCGGAGACTCCCCTAGACCTAAGGACCCAGAACCCTAAGTCCATAACCTTGAAGCTTGTTTTGCTGAAACCTCGTGCAAGGTCCGCCTGGCTTGGTTTGACCTTTGCATGGCCTGCTGCAGCCTGGCCTGTAGCAGCCATTTAAGAAGGTTTTTAGGAGCTATGAGGTGTTTGGATGTCATTTCGTTCTGAGGTTCTTGCGAGGAAAGGGCGTGACTGTCAAGATTTAGTTTCAGGCTGTTTCAGGTTGAGATCTCTTGTATCTTTCTTGGTACACACGCTGCGCGTACTTGCTTGCATGTAGCCGGCAATGCACTTGTAGTCTCACTCTCCAGAAGTCGCGGCCATGCTTGCGACAGCTGCGATCTATATACAGCAAAGGGAACCCCCTGAGCCTGAACAACAATAATTGATGATAAGAGTGATAAGAATAGCAGTAGCAATAAGAATAATTAATCTAGTGGCTGTAGCCGCTTAGTAGCAGTAATAGTTCCAACGGTAATCTAACAGCAATAGCACTACGAAGATTATGAACATGTTGTTAGCTAACATGGATAGCCATAATGCTATCATGAGTCGTATTATGCTAAACAAGCAAAAGATACATCTATAGCTGTACAGACATACCCATAATTACATACAAACTCTTACAAACATGTGTATGCATATGTGCACGCACGTGCATATGTATCTATATACCTTTTTATGCATATGTGCATATGTATACATATACACAGCCACACATACACACATGCACGTGTATATTATGATGTAGGTTATCCTATACATCGTTTTGCAAGGCTACACTTTTGAAGCCGAGGCTCTGTCTCGGAGAAGACATCGCAGGCCTTCGGTCTTTTCGAGGAGGTTGCGGATAGTGGTGGGTTTGGGTGAGTTGGGCTCAGGGTTGAGGATTTCAGGGGTTAGTTGAAGTTCAGCATCATGTCCGTGTCATTGTGGGCGTCTCCCAGCTGCAGGCGTCAGGTGAGGTGGAGCCTGCATCACAGGACTTAAGCTTATTGACGCTTCGCATCTGGCCAGGTCTAGGCATGCTAGATTTAAAAAGCCAAGCGAAGTCCAGAGCAGTGATGGATGTACATCGCATTCTACGCATGAGTTCGTGATTGTCAATCACACATCCGGTTTGCGTTCATGCCAGCATAGCCAATTCTCCCAGAGACAGAATGAATCAGCCGCGAGACTCAGCAGTAGCATTCGCGGTCTGCTGACGGCAAGCTGAGCGGATGTTTGCGAATCTTCTGCAGAGAGCTTCAACTCCTTAGGACGGGGATTTGTTTGCACATGGTGCTGTTGTAAGTAGGGTAGCTAGACTTATAACCCAAATTGGGGGGCTTATAAGCCCACTTCTAACTACCCCTGAACCTCCAAGTACCAAACCCTAAGCAAGAAACTATATCATATACTATAGATCCCTATCATTCTGGCAACTTTAGACTAAAACCCTAAACCCTAAACCCGAGAGCGTAAACCCTAAACCCTAGACCCTGATTAAATCTCAAAATTTCGCTCAGAAGCGGCCGAGCGTGAAGTCGGAGAATTCTGCAGATCAGAGCCTCTCCGATTCGGCCTCGGTCTCGGCCGCTGGGAGGCAAATTGATCTCGGAATTACTTTAAGGGTAAAAGGATGTCGGATTTACTTTAAGGGTTGGGTTTAAAAGGGTTTAGGGTTTCGTTTAAATGATGTCGGATTTACTTTAAGGGTGAAGCTTTCAGAGATGGTTTAGGGTTTAGGAGTCCGCAGCACAGTCGGTGCCTCGGTTCCTGGCATATGCATAGTCCAGGTGTAAAAGGGGTTTACTTCAAGGCCTGCTTAAAAAGGGGTTTACTTCGGGCGATTGCATGCAAAAAGGGGTTTACTTCAAGGGACCCTTCAAGCGTTCCTCGGGGCTCTGTTAGAGGGCAGTTTTGGGGTTAAATATTAGGATTTCCTGTTAGGCTTCCTTTTAGGGTTCGTCTGGTGGTCCAAGTAAGTATGTACTTGTTACCCTATGGGTACATGTGCTCGTATCCATACATTATACACTTTGGGATTCCCACGACGGTAGTTTTAGGGCACCTTACATTGCATACCGTGACCCTTAGGCTTTACGGTTTGAGCAACGATTTGAGGCTTCAGGGCACAGGACGTCCGCAATGGTCTAATATATAGGGGCTTGCGGATTCCAGTAGGGGGGGAGAAACCTCCTGGTGTGTAGCAGATTTCTTCAGAGTAAGCTTTCACGGTGATCATCACCGTCAGCAGCAACCGCTGTGCCGGCGGTCCCGCTTTCGGGCTGTAAGCTTGAATGTAGGGCGGAAGGCATCGGATCTTCCGTCATGAGTTTTGCTCTCTTTTTTTTGGAGGATGTTGCTGCCCAGCAGTGGGTTTTGGACTCCGAGCTGTCAGGACTGACATGGATGCTCCGCGGAGAAGTTGGTGCAAGATGCTGTGATGTCACGAGGGCCAAGCCTTCTAGTGATTCTAGTGCCAGTGCATCCATATAGCTCACCTGTCGCCACAGTAGACCACAGGCATAATCGTTTTTAACTGATGCAGGGCCCCTCACATTGATGTTTCAGGCCATGTCGAGAATCAAGCCGTGCCCAGCACACGTGGCCAATTTGCTCGTGAGTTTCCAAGCGGTCCGAAGCGGAAGGCCCCGAGAAAGCGGCCCCCCTAGAGAAAAGCTGCCCCAAGCCCAAACAGAAAGACCCAATGCCCTAGCAATCCTAAGCATAGATACTCCTTTCGGCCGTGTCCAGCATCCGAGGATGGTAACGAGATCCAGGAGAGGGTTTGGCAACAACTGCGAGGCAACCCGTGTAGTAACCTTTTCGAACCCTTATCGCAGCCCTTAAAGTAACTTATAGAGACTCTAAACCTTCCACATGTTAGGGACAAGAACATCGGTGAACACATAGGCAGGTCAGCAATTATGGTCGGGTTTAGGTTAGGTTTAAGCAGGACAAGGGACTCTCAAAGCCTAAGTTGTTGCATGGCCCGGGTTGCTAGCATTGGATTATGAAGACAGAGAATTAAACTTTCACAGTTTTCTTTTAATGGTCACGGGTCGGGCCAGCGGTCAGATGAGGAAGAGTGCGCAGGAAGAATCACCCGGCGTTGCTGGTGCGAAGTCGTGCTTCAAACGGTCGCATGTAATTGCTCATAGAACACATGTACGGACGGTATAAGTCAGGCCTGAGACCACTTACTAGACGAGTATCTGTACCGATGTATTTACACGGACGTGAGGAACTATACTTTGAATGGCAAACTGCCCATCGATCGCTCTATCTATCTACCTGTCTGTCTGTCCATCTATAGTTACATATAATGTGCATGTGTATATATATATATAACACCCTTTCACATTTGACAGCTTTACTGCACTTGTTAGCTTGGTTCTCACGTGCTATCCATTCTACGGATACCCCAAACTCTGCCCAAACCGTCGCCTTGTACAGGTGCAGAGCAGAGCAAGACATCGCTGTAGCTTCCCTCGGCGACTCGGCGCCGTGCCCGTGGCAACTGTGCAGAAATATCAGTACACTCCAGAGCTTGATGAGGTTTGTCGTATGTACCGTAAGCAGAATTACCTTGCTGTGTTGGAACCCTGTTGGTACCATGATTGCTGCTGCTACAGCTGTTACTGCTGCGATACGCCTGAGTCTGATGTGAGGATGGTCATTGCTTAACAGTGCAGCTAGTCTTATTGACAGTTTTTTCGTTGCTACCAGCATGATCCTCGACCTAGCCCTCCGCCGGACGACATCAGCCGAGGAGATCTTTCCCATATTCCATTCCACGAACAGTGACCTGAGGGACGTCCCAGAACGTGTGCAGTCCGGGCGTTTGGAACGCGGAGCTCTGGTTGTTCCGTAGGATCTCCCGACTTCAGACAAAGAAGCAAAGAAAATGCAGCTGCGTAGCGGAAATGACCACGACAGCCGTGGTTCAGCTTTAGAGCTCTGCAACTTTTTTTTGAAGTCGTAGTTTTTTGTGTTTAGTCTTGGTCTCACTGGTGGAAGTTCTTCGCAGAAATGCTGCGAGGGAATACCCATTGTCGCAGGTAGGTTTGCTCTTCCAGACTGCGAAAGGCCAATCAACAATAAGAGGCATCTGCGCCGCCATCAAGACGGGAAGAATTGCCATGCCACTATAGACATGGAAGTACAAATTGTCGAGCCCTCTGCTTGTACTGTACTGGAATGAGTGATATGCTACAGGGTTAATCGAGGACGACTGACTAATCGGAAGAACCGTGTAGAAAGTGACATTGGCCAGAAAAAGACACACACACACACACACACCCGCACACACACGCACACACGCACACACACACACACACACACAAACAACATAGGAGTGAAGTAATGTTGACCTTGATAGTGTTCCCTGGTGAAGCAGAACTGGGGTTTGCAATCCACGAAAGAGAAGCATTCCCAGGCCTGTGGCATCATAATATCATGGACCCGAGTCCGAAAAGCTAAGCTTGCCTAATCAAATCCTAGGCCTTTGGCTGAGGATCTGGATTTCATACCGTTTGGAATTCTAATAGTTCTGGTGCATCTGATCGAAGTGCGGACCTGCAAGCGGCTTGTTTTTTCCAAGTCCTCTGAGAGTCAAGCCATCTCGACATAGATAAACCAAGGCCGCACTATACTGCATCGTCTGAGAAACATCCCGACGACACGGAGGACTCCATTCTTAACAATCTGCTAACGCCTGCTGGAATCCCAGTTGTAGAAGGGGGTCGTTGGTATTGCGTGGTTGGTCTGGTCTCTTAATGTAGGGGCCTCAATAATTACCTGTACTATTTTGGGGGGTTCCTTATCATAAAATTATTGTATAATGGGCCCCAAAACCCTATTCTGACTATTAAGGCCCCTGTATTATCGTGCCTCTCTACCATCGGACTAGGACTGGAAATAAAGAACTTTCGGATCGAAGCCCTCAGTTTGCATTGTTGCGGGTGTCGCCTTCGAGGGAGTCTGCTTAGTGTTTACCGGGGTAGGTCCAAATGCTGGGACTTCCAACAGCTAGCCTGCCAAGTGCACGAAGTGCATCTGGCGCGGTGAAGTCGGTATGCAGACTCTGCCTCGTGAGACATGAGGCACCATGCACAGGGATGCTCGGGCAAAGCTTTCTCGTTAAGCGGCATGATCCTGCACAGCACGGCCCGGGTATACTTGCAGGCTTCTCGCTCGATAGTCTACATCGAAGAAGTTTGGACCGTGGGACGGTGCAACTGGTGCTGCGGGCAGCGACCACCAGCAGGGTCTTGAGCGACAAAAAAGGTTCATGTCATGGAAGGTTCGCGGTTTCGGTGTATTCGGGGTTATTGCAAGGATAGCCTCGGGAGACTTGCGCATTGGGGTTGGAGCTCTGAGCCATCTCCAGCATTGCTTTTTTTATTTGCGTATTATATTAGTATGTTGTTGTAGCATATTATGTCTACGCCTCGTTTACCCACACTACCTAGGGGCCATTTCGTTTCAGAGTCGACACAACCAAGGCTCCACCTCGATTGTGGAGAGCGGTGCAGAGCCAGGCCTCAGATTTCTGCAGATTTCTCTTTGGAGGGGGAGGGGCGGCCTTCGCGACCTTCGGTGCTTCGGTTTCAATATGTGGGTCTCTGGCCGAGGACAGTTCTGCTTAGACGGGTGCAGCTTCATTACCGGGTGCTCACTTGCAAAGGAGGGTCTCGGAATGGATCTGGTGGGAATCTAGCTTGTTCCCGAGAGGGCATAGACAAACTCCCTGCACAAACACCCTGCAAGCTTAAATCCTGAACTTCTTCCCGAATCCGGGCGTGCAAATTCCTCAGTTAACCCTCAAATGCAACCCTGCCCGGAAGTCTGGCAGGCCACTCCAGGGGAAACTCTGGCGGCTCTTCCTCGCAACCAAGCGGCACGTTGGGGGACTTTCGGACCCAGCCCCATCAACCCGAGCCCATAAAGCAATCTAGGTAGGAGGGAAAAAAAGCAATCTTAGTCTTAAACCCTCAGAGAAGAGACCCCTCCAGCCTCGTACTGGCATGATTAAGGTACTGTGATGAGGAGGATGAGTGTTACTACATTTTCTTTTACTGGCATTACTACTCTCTCTCTCTCTCTCTCTCTCTCTATATATATATATATACAGACATGTAACTACTGAGTTATTTATGTATTCATCTGTTTATGTACTTACTGTGTCATGCATCCTGTATGTTATATCCACGCCATGTGACTCCAAAATCAGCCAATGCTACGCGTCGAAGATCACGTATACCAGGGTCCGGCGGCTGTAGGGTCGGGAGCGGCTTACCGCGTTCAGGGTTTCAGGGTACAGGGCTTTAGGGATTCAGTGCATGTATACACATGGGACCTGCCAACGACCCCATCAGGGCCGGTGAAAGAGATCACCGGCAAGATGAAGGTTTAGAAACCCCTATAAGCACCACACGACTTCTCAAGCTTTGTAGGGGACGTGGTGGGGCTCCCATGATCCATGAGGTCATTGTCACCATCGCCTGTGGCAAGGATCAAGGTGCGCTATGGTACCTAGACCTTCAACACTTTCACAGACGGTTTTGGGGTTTCGAGTGTCGGGGCCCTGTGAGGTGCACTGCGGCTTGGGATCCGTTCTTGCCTAAAGCATGCCCCTTCTAGTATCATCTAAATCTAAGCCTTAGGGGGTCCCTGCGACAGGTTTTCTAAACTCGGGTTTGGGCGGCCTACGCTGGCGTGTTTCGAGTGGATCAAAGGCCCGGTTGTCCGCATCCACAGGCCCGGTTGTCCACATCAAAAGGCCTGGTTGTCCACATGACAACGCCTTGTTGAAACGCATCAAAAGGCCAGGTTGTCCGCACCAGAACGCCTTGTTGATCCGCATCAAAAGGCCGGGCTGCCCACGTCAAAGCACCTTTTTCGCAGAGTAATGATCTTGTGGACGAAATTTTGCGGACAAAGTTTGTGGGACAGGAGTTTGTGGACAAACGTTTCGTGCGGACAAAGTTTGTGGACAAAAGTTTGTTCACAAAAGCCTGTGGACAAAATTTTGTGGACAACAGTTTGCGGACAAAAGTTTGTGGACAGAAGTTTGTGGACAAAGTCTTGTGGACGGAAGTTTGTGGACGAAGTCTTGTGGACAAAAATTTGTGGACAGACGGTTGCGGACAAGAATGTGTGGACAACCGTTTGTTTGAGGTCCCAGTTTGTGGACAAACGGGTTTTTGCAGAAAATAAGTTGTGGACAACTGTCTTGTTTTGATGCAGAAAACCTGACGCGTCTAAACTTTAGCCTTGTATCCACATGGTTGTTGCTGCCTTTGCCATCACTTTGTCCGCAAGTTGTCCGCGCTTTTGCCACAACTTGTCCGCACTCTGTCCGCACGTTTTTCGCAACGTGTCCGCACATTGTCCGCGCTTTTTCCGCAACGTGTCCGCAACTTGTCCGCAGGTTTTTGTAGACAGGATGTGCTTTGACGACGGCAATGTGGACAGGACCGCCATTGCTGACCACAAAGCGTGTGGGCCAACGTGCTCTGGCGACCCTATTGTATGTGGACAACCGTGCTTTGCAGCCACATTGCGTGTGGACAAACGTGCTGTGGCAACCCCAATGTATGTGGACAACGTGCGTTGGCAGCCAGAATGTGTGTGGACAAACGTGCTTTGGCAGCCACAATGTATGTGGACAAGCGTGCTCTGGCGACCCCAATGTATGTGGACAAACGTGCTTTGGCGGCCACAACGTGTGCGGACACACGTGCTTTGGCAGCCACAATGTGTGTGGACAAACGTGCTTTGGCGGCCACCATGTGTCCCAAGGACGGTCCAGCGTGTCTGAAGTTTAGAGGGTACCTAAAAACCTGTTCCAGGGACCCCCCAATCTAAGCCCCCTCAGCATGTAACAGTCCGGTGAACACTGGGTTGCTCAGCTCTGACACTAACTACCCCGGTAATTCCAAAATGCTACCATATCCCGCAGCCTCTCAATCCCCACGCTATGTCCATGGCACGCCGGTGCCTGAGTCAAGCTTCATCGATGAACCCTGATTCCCATGATCATGTTCCGTGTCAGCTGTGAACCCAACAAGCGCTCTGTCGCCTTGCCTATAGCTCCCTTCCCAGTGAGGCGGGAGCCGGTAAACCCAGAGCCTCAAATCTCCTCCAGTGCTACAGACGGTTCACGGAGCTTAAGATGTGATTTGGCAAGAGAAGTTCGGTTGCTTGCTATGCCCGAAGGCCAGGAGATTCTCGTCAGCGTGCAATGTTGACACTGTGAGACCTGAATTGGTTTGGTGATGCTTGGTGCCATGGAATCTTCATAAGTTTGATTGGAAGCAGGACATATCCGGAGTAGGGCCGCCATGGCTTCTGCAGACAGCTGCCGCTTGCACATCCATGCGCGCCTCTATCACCGTCGCAAGACGGACAAGCCTGCGGCGATCAGCACATACTGGGAGAAAGCGGGCTACTGCGACCAGTCAGACCTCCGAAGACTTGCGGCCCCCGTGGCATCCTGGATCGCCTATGGCCCGCATGGTCGGATTCCAAGAGTTGAAGAGTTCCAGCTCTTGACGAAGTTCCTGGACAAGATGGATGGTGGGCTGTTGCCATCTCGATTGCGCGCTGTCCTGTCTGAGATGTTCACAGTGCTCGAATCGTTTGCCAGGCCGGACAATGAGGCTTGGAATAAGGCCGAGAAGCAGCTGGAAAAGAGCTATCGGAAGCTGCACCGACGCTGCATGGAATCCGAAACGGACGCAGGGGTTGTCGCCATGGATGACGATATCGTTGATGCTGAGCTGAGAGCTGAGGCGGACGATTCCGGCACTCCCTGTACATCTGACCAGTTTGATCAACACCTCACGTTGTTTCGCAAGATGAACGAGTGGGGCTTTCTGGACAATGCTCAGAAGCTGGAGCGCTTGCAGCAGGCCGAGGAGGCATCCAGATGCTCACGGAGGAGCTTGAGCCAGGCAGAGCTGGCAGATGTCCTCAACACGGCGGCAGCTTGTCTTGCAGCTCCGCGGAGACCTGCGAAGCTACATGATGCTCATGCCAAAGACCTAGGCGAAGTCAGTACTGCGCCGGAATCGCAGGATCCGACGGTGGATCTGCAAAAGCGAGTTCGGTCGTTGTTTCTGCATGCTCTCCGAATTTGGCAGACGAACCACTTCGACTGTCAAGCCATCGAGCATGTCCTGGACTGCGTGCAGCAGAAGATCAACAAGTTCGAGAGCAAGGTTGGAGAGATTCAAGGCGCTGCTGCGGGAAAGGCTTGGCTGAAAATCAAGCAGATGGTCGATGAGCTGCTGCTGCGGGTAGAGGCGCCCTCGAACCTGCATGCGAATGGTGCAAGGAATTCCCGAACCAAAGCGGCTCAGAAAGCCAAAACAAGACTGGAGCGCCAGAGCGGTATCCAGAATATTACCTGGGTTGTGAAGGACGCAAGTTGGAAATGCCAACGATCCTATGGAAAGGGTGCTATCCGCAGACAGAAAGCTCGCTTCTTTCCGATTTCCAAGTTCCTTGGGCAGGGCCTCGGCGAGGAGGCGGCTGTCGAGGCCGCACTGCAGGAAGCCAAGGCCTATCGCGAGGAGCTCGTGCGCCAGGGCAAGTTGAAGCCCCCGAAGCCGAGACCCCCACGCTCAACGGTGAGGGGGGTCTCTTTTCACAAGGGCCACCAAAAGTGGCAGGTGCGGTTGTACCATGCCGTCGAAAAGAAGACAGTGTGCTGCGGTTCCTTCGATGGCAAGGAGGAAGCCGAGGTCAAAGCCCGGAAGATGGCTGCGCAGCTCGGGGTTCGACCCGAGTACGAGGTGACGCCGGCCAAGAGAAGCAGGGCTGAGGTGTAGTTCGCGCAGTGCTTGGTGAAGGAAGAGCTTGGTGAAAGCCACGCGTCTGAGATGAGATGTGCGTCAAGTTCGCAGACCTCAGCTTCAGATTCCCCAACCAGTCTGGCTGTCGAACTGCATGCGTTGAGAATGTTTCTCGAATGTGCTCCCCCCTGAGAGGACGGTGTAGTCGCTGGGCCTGAGGCCTGCTTGTGTGTCCGACGGCGAAACAAAGCCTGAGACATGCGAGCTGACACGAAAGCACTCTCTGCGTGGCATGTTGCATGGAGCTGTCACTGTACCCAGAGGCCCCATAGTAGTTCCTTTTTGGGATTACCTTATAGGGTTCTATAGATAAACCCTTAAAAGGAACTAACTACTCTGGGGCCTTTGGGTAGTGACGTGTTCCACCAGGAAGCTCAAGGCGGCTATCTGCGCGGGAACCACCCGAACAGCTTCGCCTGGAGAGTTGCGAGAGTCTAGACCCTACCGGGTAATGCAGGAACTCGGTGTGAGGCAACAGGCAAAAGACAAAGAGCTTCACCCCTGTGTTGTGACTGCTCTGGCAAGAGAATCCATGGCCTCCTCGTTTGTACGTTTGCGATGCGCAGGGTCCAAGATCTTGGAATCTTAGAGTTTTCCTGCTGGTACAGATCATGGACACGGCGACAATTGAATGTAATACCTTTCTGAATGGAGCTTGGAATACTTCCTTGCGTGTCCGTGCATGCTCGTGAAGTTGGTGTTGGTGGAGGGCACGGGTCTGCATCCTTTCAACTACCGCTATAGATTCCTAAACCCCCAGAAGTCCCTTTGCATATAAACAAAAGAAGCAGCCTTAACCCCAAGCCCTAAACTGCTAAATCCTGAACGACTAAACCGTACTGGTATGTAAGATCCCGTGTAGGAAGCAGTCTGCGGTAGTACAGATACTTTATGTGTATATATAAGTATTGTTGCTTATCATCTTGACCACTTCCTTTAGTTCGTTTCACTTTGCCAGACTCCAAACCATATGCCTCGCCTGGATTGTCCGAGTGCGAGCGCCGAAACCCTAAACCCGAAGCCCTTAAACCCTAAAGCTCTAACTTTTACATCCCGTAGCAGGCATTCCAGACTCCCTTTGGGCAGACGGAAAAGAGTCTTCAAACAAAGATAATAATGATAATAAAAATAAAAATAATGCTAATTATAATAATAATAATAATAATAATAATAAAATGGTAATAATAACCCTTACATCCTAAACTCACAGCTTCTCCCTCGCCAGGGCCTCGTCTCCCCGCAAATCTCGGCCTCTGCGGCTTCTATGGACTTGGAGCGATTAGCCCAGGCCACTTCTTCAATGGTTCCTTGACAGGCTGCTAGAAGGTGACTACCAACATCGTTTCTCTTTAAATTAGGGCTCCTGAATATATATGAACACATATATATAAACATAAATAAATAAATAAATATATATATATATATATACACATGTATATATATATATATATATATAGATATAGATATGCATACGTACGTGCTTGTATTCCTTCCTTATTTACTATTCGTTAGCTTATTCACACGGTATGTATCCCAAAACCCTGTTCTCACTAGTTAGTAAGGGCTCATACTTCGGGCTGCTGGACAACGAGGCCTGCTGCACAAACAAATGGGCCCAGAGCGTCGGGCGTAATTTAAAGGTTTTACGGTTCAGAGCTCGTCGTTCCGATCATCGTTTCACATCGGGCCCAGCCCTTCAGTCAGGCTTGATGTGTCGAGTGCCTCGGAGAGAGCGAGAGAGAGAGAGAGAGAGAGAGAGAGAGAGAGAGAGAGAGAGAGAGAGAGAGAGAGAGGCACGGCCTAGGCCTGTGGGTCGCATCGCGACCCTTATGCCCGGCAGAGAAAGAAAGAGAGACAGAGAGAGAGAGAGAGAGAGTGAGAGCGAGAGAGTTTAGAGTTTAAGGTTTAAGGCGGTGCTCGGCACCCTCACTTCCAGGTATACACCCGGCTTAGGGCGTTGGGTTCGAAAGACTTAGGGGCACTTGACAACTTGTGCCTGTTGAACTTGGCCGTTCCTACAGGCGTTCTCTAAGAGCAAAGCTAATGCGACGTTCATCCACACAGCCATCAGCCTAAATCCAACTCAACGTACAGCATGCTTGCCAACTCCGGGCGCCGATGGAAGTGGGATGCCTGCACGAAGAAGTCACATTTCGGGGTTAGTCGGCGGAGGTCAAGTAGTGAACAGATTGGAGGGAATTGGGATTGTGTGATACGCGCCCAACCGCAGCCCACAAAGCACAAGCTTTATGGCTGGAGCCATCACTGTAAATGAACAAAGTATTGCCGACCCAGCCGGCTGCTAAAGGGTCCATATGCCCATGACATTGTGTCATAATGTAGGGCAGTCCCTCGACAGCTATACACTTATACTATACTGTCCGGCCCCTACCATACTGCTGTGGCCGGCCATTGCTAACAGCAGCTTTCCACAGGAAGAGACACATCGCTGCAAGTAGCAAGACGAATAGCAGCAGGCAAACACAGCAAAGTTGATATGACAGCCAACGGTACAACAGCTTCACAGGGATTTGCAAACAGTATCAATTAATGCTGCTTCTGCGGCAGGAGCAGTATCAGTAGCAGACCATTGACAGAAACCATGAGCTCTTGACACAAGCATATGCACGAATAGTCTTACAAGATGATGAACCCCAAACTCCAACCCTAAACCGTAAATCCTTGATCCCTTATAGAAAGGTCTAAAGCCATATAAACCGCCGGAAGCCCTAAACCCTGTATACCCACGACCGGATCTTGGTGTGATCGAGAGGTAGAAGCTCGTCCTGGAGGTCTGAAGAAGATGGGTAGAAAGAACCGTCCTTGTTAGGGCTCCTTGTTACGATTTCCGTATTAAAATGTGAGTTTTGAGAGAGGTAGGTTATTTTGGGCTCCGGGCTATGATTGCCTTCTTAAAAGGCCTTAAAGAAGTAGTTTGCTTAAACTTCCTATGATGTGAAGAGCTTACAAAGACCAGGGTTAGGGCTTAGTCTTGGGGTTACACGGAGCATGGGCTTGGAGCTGATAAGGTTTCAGGAGGTCATGATGTTTTAGGTCCCGATTTGTGCGGTAGAAGGTAAATCGGGCTTGGGAGTCTTAAGGCACAGAGACTAAAGGCTTGCAGACTCTAAGGGTGTAGGACAGGGAGACGTGATGTGCGTGGAGGTCGGCTTGAGATGCAAAATTTGGCCGTACTAGCAGTTCCTGCTGTTATTCTTGTCATTTTCGGTACACAAGACAGCCCCGGATTGAAACATGTTTTCGGTATTTGTGTTCAACATTCCAGATTTAGACTGCCTGGCTTTCTCGTGGCACCCAAGAACTTTGCACCAGGTTTTCCGGACACCTTGCTGGTTGTAGTGGTGATTAGCGCCAAAGTCTCGTGCCTCTAACGGGAGCATGCTCGCTTCCGTCCTCAAGCGCGGAGCCCAAAACCGCAAGAAGCTGGCGCCCAAGCAGACCCTGCAAAACCGAAGAGTGCAATGCTCTCGACAACAGGGTGGGAGGGCCGATGCTGCATCGATAGACACTGCACAGGACTCCTAGCCGCGCTTCGTGAACGAGGCCCGCATTCTGCATCTTTTCGAGGTTCAGCGGCAACGAGCATCCGTTCTGTGCAAGAGCTATGCCACACTCGTCTTCAAGATGATGTCAAGCTTCTTCATTTTGGCGTTGCTGCCATCATGAGCAGAGTGTCGCACAAGGACCGAGTTTATGCCAGGGGCGGGGTCCTTCGTGCGTCGAAGCCCTGGCAGGCACTCTTCCGTCGTTCGGTGGAACGACGTCCGTTTTCGGCCCCAGCGCAGATGTTTGATAAGCCGTAGAAGGACGGAGTTCATGTCGGGGCGCGAAATCTTGGTTTGCGGAAGAGCTTCTTCGTGCACTTGGGGCAGTGCTTTGGGATTTCGTGCTGAACTAGCGTAGCAACCATGGCACAGGATTCTGGTATGGGGTTCTTCAGGGCAACTAGACTTGAGACCAGGTTATCGGTGCTGCCGGAGCTACTTTGCAATACTGTCCTCGCTTTGAACATTGCTTCCGTCGAAACTGGAGCCGACATTTCGCACAGCACTTCACGGTCAATGGCCAAAACCGGATGGTTCGATTCGATACGGTGCTCGCTGGCAGCCTCGCTGAGGTGGCCTCTCCCCCGCGATTGGATCTGTCACCAGCCGCCATCACAAGGCTGTCGTCAGCTTTGCAGCGCGCTGCTCGTTCTTGATTGCAATGTCAGCACTGATGCTTAGGATGAGCTGGAGGCCAAAGTCAGTTGTTTGGAAGCCATGGTGTGCTTGTCATGTGGCTATCGCCGCTCTGATCAGCATATTGTAGTTGGAGCTGGGGCGCCGTTGAGCAGCATAAACATTTACACACGCAACACACTGACATGCCGCATGTGGAAGCTCCAAACTTCGCCACGCGCATGACCTACAATCCTCCGCAGATGTTCGTGCATTCGCGTCCAGAGGCCGCCTGAGGAGGTGCCACCAGAAGCACTGAAGTCGCGGTTTGCGGCCCAGTGAGGGCTCAGGGGCTATGGAAAAGTTGGTTCGGGATGCCGAGCTGTGCAGCTCTCACGTGCCTTTCTCAAAAAAAACCTACCTCCCAGGGCAGCAGAATCCGCAGTAGAAACGAGCGACACTGCACACTGTGCAACTGAACGTCCCGAACATCGGATGTCGTTATCGAGATATGCACATGGCTGGCTCTCAAGAGACATTGCTCAGGCCTACACCGCAGCGTACGCAGAAGCCGACAGCAGCGCAGCCCGGCAACAGTCAGCAAGTATATAAAAAGATAAATAAATAAATAAATATATATATATACACAAATGAATGTGCGTATACACATACATACAGAGTGCATATACATACTGACATATACAATATATATATATATATATATATATATATATATACTTGGTGGCCGTTTCGGGGATTTTTAATTTTTTGGTGTTTTGTGGGGTTCATTGCATA